CAAAATGAGTGCTGAAGTAGTTATATTGATGTTTCCCGTGAAGCTATGTGTTGAGAAATACTCATACAATAGTGATAGCGCACCGATATCTCATTTCAGCGCCCCTTCTGCGCCCTATCAAGCCAGCTTCCCTCGGGAAAATTGGGGACTCATTTTAATGAATGTTGGGGTGGATTCAACGGAGCCATTCATCGATTTCCTCAGTTGAAAAATGAGATTTTATTTGTTGAATCTAGACGAAACATGTCGAAGTGGCTTTGAAGTTATCGTTTCATAAAACCAGAGAATACTACTTTGAAAAATAAATAGAGTAAAAAAATGTTTCACGATCTTCTACTTCACTGTTAGTAAATTACTCTTGAATATTCAAGTAATTCTCGATTTTCAAGTCCACACGTCACTAAAAAACTTTGAAAATTGTTGAAAATTCAGGCAACAACTTTTATGAATTCTCAATCTATTGAACCTTGAATTGCATATGATGTTCAATTTTCACGATGAGTTTGGAAATTCAAGCTTTCATTGGAAAATCAATGATTGTTTAACATGAAAAACCCAATTTTCTTGGATTTTCAAGATGAATGAGAAATTTTGTGAACACTTTCATTTGAAATTGAATTCAACCTCACAACTCACATTTCAAGAAATTTCTAACAGTGTGCTTTTCATTCGCCATTCATCGACTCTTGCAATAAATCGGAGAATATATTGCTCAATAAATAGAAATTGAGAAATGTTTCACGATCTTCTACTTTTTGTCATGAGCCTTCATCGATTTTCTGAAGTGTGAAATGAGATTTCAGTTGCAAAAGACATGAAACATGTCGTAGTAACCCTGCAAGTCATCATTTCTATGGAACCAGAGAATACTTTTGAAAAGAAAATGCAGTAGAAAGTTTCACGATGCTATTTTTCACGCCGTCCCATTTCAGCCCCTCATTTCCCCTCCCACGCATTCGAAGGTGCATTATAGCTTAATGCACCTCGATACATTATTTCTTTGACTGAAGTGACATAGTTCCAGGTACTCAACAACAGCATTCATCAATCTACGGAAATTGCTCTGATACATATGTTCCTTTGTGCACCCCAACGTTATCGGATTAAAACGGATATCATTGGGAAGGAAAATTATAGCTGTACGCCTCATTTTCCGGTGCTCCACAGAAGTCGAATTGTCTTCTGCGCCGAAATTTTCCGACAATGGAATTTTATTCGTGCCTCGATGAGAGATAGGATACAAAGGCGCGGACTCCCCTTCAGCCGAGGGGTGAATCACCCCTCAACGACCATCTCATCCCGAAAATACTATCTATCCACCTCGACATCTACGACGTACATTTAACGTCCCCCAGTGTCCATAAAGTGCAACCGTAAACACGTAGAAAATACATAACAAGTGCACGGAAAAAGCCATGAGACGTTATCGAAGTGGAAATCTCGACAAGAAATATCATTTATGCATCAAGGTAATCCGTGACTAGCCCAATTAATGTCTCACTTGAGAGCAACATCAATGGGAGTATTCACTGACAACTAGACTGCCATCAGATGATATTCTAATGATAACTTGCGTAATTTTACTTTCGAATGGAAGCTTTGTAATCGTCCATTTTGACGATTTTCTCATTTTAATTGGAAATTATGTACAGTGTTGTGAAACGGAAAGATATGTTTTTTTGGCATTCCGGCCGTTATGACGAAAAATATTGTACGACACACGGCCTAAAAAAACATTTCTAGCTCATATAATTGCAATCTCATGTTTTCCAGAAAAGTTTTCAGGTCTTATGTTGATATGCACTATAGAAGAAAATGTGTCGGGGAGGTTGGGGTAAAATGGACACTTTTGACTTTTTTTAAAAGGTTAATGACGGGTTGAAATGTTGATAAAATTTAATAATTTTTTTCTCAATGCAAAGAACAGTTCTTTCCCTTTGTGATGAGCTCAATTGATGAATTTGTTTCTGAGTTATGAGTAATTAAAACAAAAGTCTAAAGTGTCCATTTTAGCTCACTCTCCCCTATATCCGTATGGATATGCAGATTTTTCACATTTTCTTATAAGTCTTCCCAAAAACGGGGTAAAGTTCGAACTGAGAATAGGAAACTTTTCCTGAAATTTCAACTGAATCGGTTAAGCCGATCTTTTTTCCTCGATATCTCAAAAACTACGCGACTCAATTGAATTTTTTTGGCGTCAAAATATTCCTTATCATAATATTCATCAAATCAAGGCATAATGTCTTCACTTAACCAGGGACAACTTGGTAATAATCAACATTTTTCATTTTTTCGATGAAATCGATGTTTACACGATAACTCTCGAAAAAATTCTGACAGGAAGCTGAAATTTGGTACAATTGTAGTTCTCATGATATTACAGCATGGGATTTTGGTTAGGCGAAATCGGATAATTAGTTCAGGAATGGTCCGACTTAATTTTTCTTTTTTTCAAAATACTCTTGTTTTTTTCATTCATCATGCACTGCATACTTCTTATCATTCGCCATTCCTTCATTTTATTAGCTGAGAAATAAGGTTTTATTTATCTGAAAGAGATCCAAAAAATTCCTAAACTCGCTCTTGCACTCAGCCCTCCATTAAATCAGACAATATTTTGTTAAATAAATAGAACATGAGAAATGCGTCACGATCTTGTACTTTTCGTCATGAGCATCATCGATTTTCCAACTGTAAAATGAGATTTTATTTGCAGACGTGGACATGAAAAGGGCCCACTTTGTCCATATGGAGTAGTCTATATCTTCAATAACATTGATAACATTCCACTCATTCTAAGCCTCAAATAAGCAGATAATATTCCTAATAATGATACCTTAGGAATTTTTTTTCATTCATCATGCACGTTATCTTTATGTTCATGTGCACAGCTCGTAATGGTCGTTCTCGGAGAGCACGTGTGCGTATTTACGGGGGGGGCCCTGAAAAAAATGTCCCCGGAGGTGCTCTCGGAGGTGTTATTTTTTCCCGGTATGAAAACAATCGACTTACCCGTGAAAAGCCAGCATTACGATCGAAGGGATCTCGCCGGGATCTCTCGAAGAATGATTTGTCGTCGTCAAAGTGCTGCTTCATTTTCTGGATGAAATCGTCGTCCTTGTCCCTGGCTTTGTCACCGAATTTTGGTTTCTCACGGAAGTAGTATGACATTGCCGTTCACTCACTTCAGTGGCATACGTTACTTATCGCACTGTAATTTTGATTGATCACTCTTGGTATTATGGTATTTGTTGGAATATAATATAATTTGACTTGTGAATTTCGGGGGAACCAAGATATGATGCGGTACTTGCCCGGATTGACGCGATAGTTTACGTTAATTTTCGACTTGAACTTTATCGTGTCCCGAACGGTGAGATACTGAAGAGACCCGCGCGCCAATCTCCGCCGAGTGCTGTCGGTCGGCGTTCGGTTGTGCTCGGTCAAGTAAATCCCTCCGTGCCGGTTGCCGCGCATGAGCACACAACTGAATAACAGTTGTCACTCTCTCACGTCTTTGAGGATTAATTTCACGGGATGAGAAGGTGACGATTTCGGTCTTTCAAGTTTGTCAGAACCGATGCTTCCCACTTCACTCAATTAACTGCGTGAATTACCGTTGATTTTCGAAATTCCCGTGATGTTGTTGTTGAAGTATTAGTTCGCATTTGAATGAAAATTATTGAGAATTTGAAAAGTCCAGGCAAGCCGGTCAATATTTCTCCATTCTCGATCTATCGCGCATTCAAATAAATGTTATGTCTAATTTTCATCACGCTGTGACGAAAAGTGAACTTTTCGGCACGCTCCGCGTGCCTAAAAGTCCAATTTCTGCCACATTGTGATGAAAAATATTGTTCGTAACTCGTGAAAAAATGTTTTTTAGCTCGTGGGATTATATCACTCGCCTTCGGCTCGTGATATAAACCTCCCACGAGCCAAAAAACACTTTTTTGCACTCGTTACGAAATATACTATTTCACAATGAGTTCGACGATGGATTCAAAATTTGGTGAATGATTTCTTCTCAAATTGAATTCAAATTTGCAACATTGAAAATGCACACGTGTGAGTTATTTAAACTTCGAAACAATTTTAGCGCTCTTCTGTAAATAATAAAATAGGATAAGCACGCAGTAAAAATCGGTGTTAATGTCTCCAGGGTAAAATATTTTGGTCTTAAAATCAAGTCTTTCCAGGAGTTCAATTCACCTTCAGCATTGAGTTTAATTTGGTGCGGACTGAAATGTCATTTTTCACATGATAATGACCATTTTTTGGTTGACACCATGGCGGAATTAATATATTCCGAGCATCCACAATTAAAAATGCTGTGGACTTATTTTCAGTCCGTTTATTGTGGACTCAAAGGTAAAATTCACCCAGAATTTTTTACATATCTGTAGTTTAGGCACTCAATTCTTCAAATAATCATAATATCCTAAATTTCTATAATATTGTTATTGAAGTATGAATTAATTACTTCAATATTCAATGATATTCTAATTTTGGAGTTCATATATTATTAAAAATGATTGAGAATTGAAAAAATTTAAGAAGCTGTTCTTCTGAAGTGAGAATAATTCTCTAATGAAAATACAAATGTATTTAATTTTCTCCCGATGAGTTTTGAAACGAGTTCATCCCAAAGTGAATTGAAATTCTCAAAATGTAAAGATCACGTGCCCCTGTTATTCAAATTTCAAAAAATTCGCAACAGTGTTCTCTAAATAACTATTTCACGAATGTACATTTCACTCAATTAGTTCTATAAATCACCAAACCGTCGCAAATAGAAGCCCCAATCCACCGCTGAGTCGAACCAATCGGCATTAATTCAAAAGTAATTCAATATTGAGCCATTAATCAATGATTTTTTTAAAATGAGTAAATAGCAATGACCTCCACTCCCAAACACCGAGAGTCCCGAACCCGATATCTGCGCCATCTCCCTTCCCTCATCATCACTAAACCCCCGAAGAATATCGTATTTCGCGGCTTCTTCGAACACCCAAACATTTGAAGGAAAACAAAACACATTTGTCCTCGGCCCTATCAACATCGGCTCAGCCCCGTCGAATTCTAACCTGAGACTCGAGGCAGTTGACAAATAATTTCCCAAAGGAACCAACTAAATTAGCACTCCCCCCTGATTTTTTCGACCGCCACTTTTTCCGACACTGAACACGCGGAGCTCAAGACGGAGAGACCGATCGACCGACCAAGGTGAGTTTTTGTTTGCCCGCACGCACGTTCTCCTCCCTTGCCCCCTACTCACCCCAAAATATGGGATTTGGCAGACGAAAATGGACCCCTCAAGGCTGAGCTTCCGATGCATCGTCTGTGACACGGAGACCTCGAGTCTCTGTGCCTTGCACAATCACCAATCGACACACCACACATCGGAGGAGCTATCGCTCTCAATCCTGACCCTTCAGAGTTTCCTCTACCACAAGCATTACTTCCAGTCCCTGGACGCCAAGCCACCGTCCGAAGTCTGCTATTTTTACCCCTTCTGCACCCAATTATTCTCCAGCAAAGGGAAGAATCTGGAGGAGAATTTCAAGACATTCTGCCCCAGTCCCCCCAGACAAGCCGAGCAGCTCTCGCTGAAAAGGGCAGACAGCGTTTCAGAAACGATTCCAGCCCCCCAGAGAGCTCGCACGAAGAGTCCAAGGAAGCAGATGCCACTGAGGCTGCCCCTGACAGCTGCCACTCGTCCAACAATCATCAAGTCCCTGAATTCACTGGCCAAGCAAAGAGAGAGCTCTCTCACTGATGCTGTGTCAAGTCCCTCTGACTCTCACACTGCCTTCATCAGCTCGGCTAATGGCCTGTGCGACGATCTCACCAAGTTGAAGGGAAGCGCCGGTCAATCCAAGATAAAACGTAAACGACTGAACGAGAGAAAGGATCGACCACGTCCAGCCAAGAGGGAGAACAAGCAGAAGGTGCAGAAGCCACCGAGAAAACCGAAGATCGAAAATGTTGGGAGAAAGGTTCAGACTATTCTGCCCAAGATTTCAGCGCCTGGGGACTCAAGGATTGAGACGTTGAACATTTGGGCATCAAAGGGTGAGGAGAGTGTTTCACTCAATACTGTTAACACTTTGACGGGAGTCACGCTCGCGGAGAGTGTGCAACCGATTAAAATTCAGTCGCCAACAGTGCCAGTAGATATAATGAACTGTGAGAATGCTCTGATCTTTGACGCCGAGACTGGCAGCTTCCAGTGGAATCCACTGGTTTTTGTGGAGAAGAAGGGCGAGGAGAATGGCAATGCACCGCAGCAAGGTGATGTACCTGTGTCAGCTCTGCCGAACGGACCGACAGGGGCTCCTGATAATTGTTGAGTAACTTTTTGTTGACTAGATTTTCTACGAGAGTTAATTGTTCTGTAGTAAGGATATTACGATGCTCAAAGATATTTGATAAGGAGTATAACGAAATGTTATCTGTTTTTTTTCTAATTTTTTATTAATAAGTATTGAGAGGGGTGGGGGGATGTATGAAGAGTCGCGCTGTGATTCCATGGGAAGAGAATGAGCAAGTTGTTATTTTGATAATAAATCGGAATTTTTGATATTATTTCGGAGGTTTTCAAAATATGAGGGGACGAGTGTCCTACCTTCATTTTTTATCGATACGTATGAAAAATATTGAAGAGAATTTGGGGTTTTGATACGAAATAAGAATTTTTTGAATGATTTTCTCATTTTTTTATCAATAAGATAACTAAACTGGTTTCGTTTCTCCTCTTATTTCTATGTATTGAGAGAAAAATTACGAGGAGTGCAGTGTTTGAGATTGTGATGCCAGCTAAGCGATCACAATCTGAAACTGAAATCTGAAAATTAAGAAAATTGTTATTTTGATGGTAAATGAAAAATTTCAAAAATTGTTTCAACATTTTTCATTCATTGAGATAACTACAGGCATTTTCTTTCTCATTTTTCAAATTAAAATACGTATGGGGATAGTGAAAATCAATACTGCAAAGTGCCATATTAAAATTCCAAGTGAGTAACTTGTTATTTTTATAATAAATGAAGAAAATTCAATCATCTCCTCATTTTGTATCCAATAAAGATTATATTCGTTAAAAAATATGTAAAGGATGCACTGCGAAGCATGGCTTCATGTGATAAGAACCAAGGTTTTTGTTATTTTGATAAGTAAGAAATTTCGCAATAATATTCTAACTTTTCATCGAAAAGAATAACTGAGCCACTTTCTTTTCTTCCTCCATTTCTAAGTATTAAGAAATACTACATAAGACATGCGCAAAAGTATCACCAACTGCGAAGCAACTTGTTATTTTGATAATAAATAAGAATTTCTCTGATCATTTTTTCGATCTTTATTCAACAATATAACTGAAATACAAACAGACCTCTCTGGAGGGAATGAAAATCATCACAATAGCTATGAAAAAATACTCTCTCGTTCTGGCAAAAATAGGCTGTGTACAGTGGAAGTATTAGATCGTACTGTGCACTCCTGCACCCATAAAAAAGTGATCATTACTTGAACTATACTATGAATAAAAAAGCTATTATCATTCATTGGCCATAGTGAACAATGGGATGTGATTCTAGTAGCAATCCATGGAGTTGACACCATTCTGCTCGTACACAGTCAGTATGTCCTCGAGTACTGAGTCAAAGCAGACTGTGTAGTCCTTCAGCCAGCGTCGCTTCTCCTCGATGTAATGATCGACATCCATATTATTGACTACATTCAGGAATTTCTGTCTCGTTACTTGTGACAATTTCTCCAGAGTCGCCGTTTTCACGGTCTCATCATCTGCGTCCATTCTCATGGAGCTCTGATAGATCGACGCCAGTAGCTCTGCATCGTTCTCCTTGACAATTGCGTCGATTATATCAGCCAGTTTCTCTGGTGAACTCTTCGTTTGGGACGTCGATGGCTGTGTCTGGGGTTTTATGTACGACGAATCGATCGTAGCACTGTCCTTTGGCAATCTACTGTTCTCTACAACTGGCTCGTTGAGTTTGTACTTCAATATGTAGATCTGGAGTTTCTTTATGATATCAGCTGCAGATCTTGAGACTTCGAAGTCACTGTCGTTCTCCAGAGTGACCAGGAGGACCCCAAGACACCTGTGCTTGGCCACATCGTCCAGTGCCTTGTTGAGTCGACGTTTGATCTCAGTTTCATTGAGTGTAACTATCTTCCTGTGCTCCTTGGAGAATGTGACATTTGGGAAGGAACCGTCCAGCATTCCCTGATCAGTGAAGTGTGACTTTATGAAGTGTTTCCAGAAATTGAGAGCATTCACTTTGACCTCCCAATGGAGATCCAGAACTGCAGCCTCGGTCATTGCAGTACTCATTAAATCAATAGTAGACTTTGGCCATTTTCTGTACACGTAGAGTTCTTTTATCAAATCAACAGCCTCTCTCCTCACAATTGCCTCACTCTCCTTTTTGAATAGATTTATGAATTTTTCTGGGAGATCCATTTTTGACAGGCTGTGATCCCACAGTTTATTTATTCTAATTGTTGTAGCGATGAATTTAACTGCAGATGCTCGGACGTAGCTCTCACCGTCCATCAGGGCGACATCAGTGATCAGGGGTAGGAAATCATTGGTGAGTAGGAGTTCTTGGAATGCTGGGTATTTATCCTCGGATATCGCTGCTATTGTGATCAGGACCTCCAAGACACTGTCACGAACTTCCCAGTTGGGGTCGTGCAACCGTTTGAAGAGGGTCAGGCCAATTCCACGCATGCCACTGTCTGATTCTACCAGCAATGCTAGGTTTGGGGGCATGAAGTTCTGGATGGCGAGTTTGCAGAGCTGGAGAGCCTTCACACACAGCTGGAATTTCATATTTCAGAGCAGTTAACAATTTATTTATGATCACTTTTTAATTAAGATTTGGAATTAATATACTACTTACACTTGGCAGAGTTCCTGTATGATTCAAGATCTCTTGTGCTAGTGCGAGGAGACATATTGTTTCAACACAGTCCTGCCATTTGAACTGAAACTTTTGTGTGAGGACTGCTAATCCGTGGAGCAATGTCGACAGCAGTACAGGATTGTCGACAACTGGGTCTCCATTGAATATAGAGTTGGGTGTGGGTTTTCGTTTTTTATCGTTTGGGGACTCTTGGAAACCATGGGCATGTGACTTCTCCATAATTGAACAGATTTTCTCCTTTGGTATGTAATTTTTAAGAACGTAACACATGCTTTGGAAGGCAATGACAGCCACCTCCTGAAAATTAAGATAAGAAATTTATGAAAATTAATTGATGGAATTAATTAAATGTTGAGTTAGTTCAATTTAATCCTGCCATTAAAACAAATAATTAAATATTAAAAATTACGTCTTCAGAGTGAAGATAACTGAGTGTCATTTGTTTCATTCTCTCCATTCTCAACAATTAGAGAACGTTAATTCATTGGAAACTTAATGCCCTCGATCACTCACCCTCCCAATAACATCAATAGTTTCAAGAATCATCTCAATCGAGGATTTGCAAATCTGTTCAACTGGTAAACTCTCCCTCAACATGACGTCTTTGATGAGATAGCTGAGCCTCTGGACTGGTTGGCATGTGACATCATATAATTTATCAACGAACATTTCGAAGAACTCGTGCTTCATATTATTGTGTCTCATGGTTGTCCCCAGAGGTGTTATCTGTTGAAACCAGCATTAAAAATTGAATGGTAATTCATGTCAAAAAAGAGTCCTGATAATTTCATTAAAAAACTGGGAGAACTGACCATCAGCGTCATCGCTTGATACTCGAATTGATGTTCAAAGGACGACTTTATCTCTTTCATATCATTCAGTTTCCTCCAGTACAGCAGGGTCATCTTCTGGAGTCCCACAATCTCAACAATATATTTCTTCTCAATCAAAAGTGTCTGAATATAGCAAAATCGTTCACTGAATTTTGCCCACGTTTCTTCATCAATCAGTGGTCCATCCTTTCTGGCTCCAATTTTGATTATTTGAAAGGAGATGAGGGCCCACAGCTTGAGGATATGCTGGAGGAACTTTGTGCTTATACAGGCCTCAGTCAGTGCCTTCAAACGATCCTCCAGATCCACGAGCTCCTCAAACATGTCTGCTATCTCATTCTCTAGACCCGTGAACATTGTGTTTTCGATTATACTCGTTATTAAATCCAGTGTGGTGCAGAGGAGTGCATTTTGGTCCAAGTAGAGTTCCTCTAGAGCTGCGTGGAGCTGAGAGTTCCCTGAATATTTGATCAGTGGCTCGGACACTGCTAAAATCACATCCTTGCAGAATTCTTTGTTTTGAGATTCCTTATTAAGTACTGTATGAATAAATCGATGGCTTTCTCTTGTCACGTACATTGTGTGGTTCAATTGAGCGAACTTTACCATGTCCCTCCAGAGGCCTGGAACACGAATTTTTATTAATTCAAAATTTATTATTTCGTAGCCACAGATTCTCAGACAAGTCTTGTTTCAACGAAAAAAATCTCAAGTTAACAGTTATTTTAAAACATTGTTTCATTTGAATTTGAAAGTTTCAAACATGGATAATCGTTTTGTTTTCAATAACAACGAAATATCTGGCTCTAGTAGCAGATCATTCACACGAGATGATGGCCTTTCAGGATGAAAATATCTTTCTTAAAAAAAAGTTCGTCAAGAACTATTTAGTTCTCTACATTACTATTCTGTTTATTTAGTCTTCAATTTCAATGCTTTGTATTTTCTCAATTTATTTTCTCTTATTAACACATTCTATTGGCTTGTTGTATTGATAAAAAACTATCAAAAGGGAGGGGTACTCAAAATTGTCAGAGTAAAATTCAAGGTATTTTTTCAGGATTTCAAAGGTAATTTGCTTCGATTTTATTGCATTGATTTTACCTCACCCTGTCCTACCTCAATTAAAAATTGTTGTTATTTACAAACCCTTTGATATCACCCAACGTCTTCCAATTTTATGAGAGATAACGTCCACCAGCATTGACGTGTATGCCATTTTAACAGACGCTGAGACATCACTCTTCTGCAACTGGAAAATTGCTGACAGTTTTTCAAAGACATTTCCACTCTCAAGATAATCAAAATCATTTTCATCCTGCGAAAGTATCCCAATGAGTTTGATGGTGAAGACAGTTACAGCTTGGCAAGGTTTAACTTCTCCACTGCTCCAGACCTCCAGAGCCTCAACAATCCATTTTTTTAACAAAGTTCGACGATCGTTGCTGTCTTGATCGCCTAATAATTCACGTTTTCATGAGATTGACGCCTAAATTATATTATTTAAACGACAAAAGGTCATGCAGAAGCTAATGCTGGCGGGTCTTTGAGGTTATAAAGCCCCCCAACATGGGTCAAACGATTTTCATATCATTCCGCTGAAAGTACAACTCAAACTTACATTTCTGTTGATTCGAGATGTGCGTTAACAACAGATCTAAATACGTGGTTGACACGACATTGTAATCCGGCAGTAAAAATAGCCTCAGAACTTTTAACAATTTCTCGTCGTCTCTTTGTGTTGACATAGTGTTTATAATTATCTCTAATGACAGGTAAATACGATTACATTGGAGGATCTCATGCGAAACATCACCCTTTGGAAATATCCAGAAGTGCAATTGCAACTTCAATTTACTTCAATTATCCGCCGGATAAACTGAGTAGTCTGATGATTTATTGAACGCACTGTACACCGCCTGTGGAGTGTTATCACGCCAATCATAAATACGAGTTCAATAAATACAGTGTTTTATTCTCGAATCATCGTGTAAAACACGAGGCAAGACAAACGCGGCTTCACCACATACTGAAGTGCCATCAGTTGAGCAGTTGTAAAAATGGTAAACTTCGAAATAAACTTCGGGGAATAAAAAAAATGAGAATAATCCCGCCATCTTTCACCGTGCCGCGGCACTAAACATGTCGACTGGTAAGACATTTCCTGAAGATATCTCCAATACCGAGACCTTTTTAACCACCTTATGAGATTGTCCAAACAATCCCCTCCCTCCCTCCCGCCCCCCCAACAGGCACCGTGTGACAATGTTTCGTCGATAGATATGTCACCGCTTGAGTGAAAAGTAAACAAACGGTAATTTCAAATGACTATAAGCGGGGGGGATGGGGTCACGTGCTTGAGTAAGTCATGAGTAAGTCTGACTTGTAGAATAAATATTTGTAGTCATGAGTGGACCTGTTAACATGAATTGGCTGAGCTCACCTGAGGGAGAGTCATTGCTACACCATTTTTACGATCACTCGATTAAAAAAAGGCGCTTCTATGGTAATTTTTAGCTGCAAGGGCCAATAAATCCTCCGATGATGCTCATTGTTTCATTTTTTTTTATTTTTTTGTTTTCTTTTAAGGAATTCTGGAGAGACCAGCTTTACCTTCGTCCATTGAGGAAGTGACTTATAAAATTTTCATGATTGGGAGGCCAGGTGTTGGGAAAACCTCGGTGGTTGCTAGATTCTTGGGCATTGTTGGGAGTGAACATGTAACTTCAGAGATTGGGGGAATTCGAAAGACAACTGTCTACTGGCCTGTGAAGATTTGGGATAAAGTGGTTCTGTTCAAATTGCATTTTTGGGATACGTCGGAGAGCAGTATTAAAAAATATAATCACGTTTTACCTGTGAGTACCTCAATGACAGGGGGATAAAATGGCACTGAATACGGAAATTTTTTTCGTAGAAAAAAGTATACCGTTTTATGAGGATTTTAATGAGTTTTTTTATATTTTCAGGGAGAATTAAAATGCCCTTCTTACCTCATTACTTATCACTTCCATGAAAAAAAAACTCTAAAAAAAACTCACATTCAGAAAAAATCAGTAGCAGTTCATCGACATGAATTTGAGCCCAAGAAATATCTCAGAATAAATTGTATAGAATATTTTTCATTGAATATTTCTGTTGATAAAAAACACACAAAAGTGTTCAATAGAATTGGTCAGAAACCAGTGGAAAGTTCAATAGAAATCCAATAGAATTTTCTAAGAAATTCACTTATTACCCCATAGTCAATTGAAATACTAATTGTGAAATGTTTTTAGGCATGTAAAGACAAAGTGGACGCCATCTGCTCAGTATTTTCCTTCGAAGATCCCACAAGCTTCACCGACATTCCCTACCTCATGAATTCCATGAACAGTATTCAAGATAGACCAGCTAAAATTGTCATTGGAACGAGATACAAACCCTGGTCAACATTGCCAGTAACTGACATTCAAATCAAAGAATTCGAAAGCAAATGGAAGATGAAGGTAATAAAGATAGATGTCAATAAGTCCTCAGCAAGACCAGAGATATTCGACGTTGCTTATCAGTTGAATTCACTCTGTAAATCACTGTGGAATAGAGATCAAGAGTTTATTACTAAACAAATTATTCAAGTATGACACGACAAATGAAGTTCAATTGTCGAACAGTTTTTTTATTTTTATATAAACAATAAAATGAACAGTATCAAATTCACGATTCAACGACTTATACTCAATTATCCTGATCAATCACGCAGGGGTCAGCTTAGCTAGTGGGTCAACTAAACAGTACAGACCAACAACCGATGAAATCAATCCCAACAGGCCAATAGTGCCTGGACTGAGTTTAGTGTACCCCAACGCTGTCATCGGAATGAAGAAATCACATCCATTTTTGAGTGTATCCAAAATTATCCCCTTATGACTCTTGAAACAACTCGAAGTTCTGGACAAGAATTTTTCGGCGGATAAATTTATTTTGGTGCTGTGGCCCAGGCTGTTCTGTTCAATCATTTGAATAATTTCGTACAGATCCCTGACTAAATTCATTACAACAGTAAATAGCCAATACTTGTTGGCAATTGTTGTCCACTTTTCTAGGTTAATCCGAAATAATCCTGCCCGACCGATCCATATCATATGATCAGCCAACAGAAACAATCCATTGGTTATTCTCGAGAATGTGACTGTAAACCTTATAACTAAGTCTGGATCTTTGACCGTTGAGAGGGCGGAGTAAAGACTGTCCAGACATCTCCCAAAACGTAACACTGAAATCCAGTTTTAATTTGAACCATTAAAAATAGTTATTTCCTCATAAGACTGTATCATTTTGCCACTTCTGAACTAATGGTTATCAATAATACTAGACTCCAATTGATCACAAACTCAATCAATGTTTTTAGTCATATCATCTTCCCTTTAGAATTCATTTCATATTTTCGTCTTCAAAATTTAAGTTGGCTTTATACAACTTTAACGAACGTTGTCAGATTATTTCTCTAATTTTTGCCTCGATCGCAACTGAATATTGATGAGCATGAAGATAAACAGCAAGATTGATAAAAAGTCTTACATTTTCTGAACGAACTGAATGTGTACTCCAGGCTCTTCAACACATCCACTGAATTCCTGGTAGTTTCACCATTCTGCAGGAGATACCACCCAGCTCGACTCCCATACTGGAAAAACCTGTAATACGAATTATCAATATCCTTGAAGAATTTCCATTTCATGAAACTTAATTGCACATTGAACTAACCTGGCAATTTTATCCCTGCCAGTAGTCTGACTATTAACTTTAATCAATAGATCCATGTTCATCACGTTTTCCCGGAGCAATGCAGCTGCATATGAACTTTGCCTCCCGACCTTTGATTCCTGGACAGTCTCCTTTATGTCAGACGGAAAAAGTGTATTTTTGTTTTACACCTCGATCATGTGAACCCCCACGTGAGCAGGTGACCTCGAGACACTTGAGCATGTGAAGATATGGGAGATTGATGAATCCACCCCAGGGTGTCTCGACCAACCGGTCTCGTTCCTTAAGGACTCCAATTTACAACTATTCAAACAATAATATCGTCGGCGTTGAACGTCCAACTTGGCGATCTCGTTGAAAAATCTACTCCAGTAGCGCCATCGCGTCTGCGTTGTTGAGAATAACAACGCCGAGTGACAAATGCATTGTGTACAGTCGGAGAGTGAATGGACGGTCAGTACACACCGCCAGCTGATCGTATGAGCGATTATATTCCCCATCGCATACAGTTTGGAGCAATCGAGTGTCAAGTGTCAACGCGTAATTTTATGCGCCACAGTGCACCCTCATAATTCCCAGTCCATGCCCAGTGTGGTTTCAATTAATCCAAAAACAAAAAAATAACCGATAATGAACGAATCGGAGCGTGAGACAGTGGCCCGGAAACAAGTACCAAAATACGGCTTCAAGGTACGATTGGATCACAAATATCCGGAGAAATGGTCGCAGAATCTGAAACCGAAATTGCACCAATTGCTGCCATTAATTCCCCTGGGGATTCGGTGAGAACGTACCCATTATTTACCGAAATTATTCTCATGGTATAAGAAACTTAGTTTACCGGTACTGTTATCGTTTGCACCTGTCACTTGCACGTTGGTACGGTAGAAATCGCTGGGTAATATTCTAGGGTACGATATGCTCGTATTTCCCGTTACGGCAATACCAGAATGAAATACCGATTCATGGGATAGCAGATAAAAGGTGCCACTTACCATCTTTTGGTGCGTTTTTTTTTCAATTTTTCGTGTTTTTTTTGTTTATTATTGGGTTACTAGAAATGCAAAATGACGGGCATTTTTCATATCGCGTCGTGTGACCAAAATGACGGTCATTTTACTGACCGCCATGATTATCATTTTTTCGCGGTAAATTGTGACAGTTGTCGTGGTGGGGATGACAGCCGTCATGTGACGTATTTCCATTAATAAATGTTAGCGCCACCCCGGCCGCAAGCGGCTGGGGTGTTGATGCCATTCATTATGCCCTTTTTCCTGTCATATTCGATGCAACCGATGAGAATCATATGTCCCAATTTATCAGATGTTAAATTTTCATGTTACAATAAACGATTTGCTCGTGTTCTAATTTCTATGTTCACTGAATAAGATTTTTATCATAATTACAATTGAATTCCTTCCAGAACACGCTTTACTTACCTTCAAGAAAATACGTAGGGGAGATTGGGGTAAAATGGACGCTTTTCACTTTTTTAAAAATATTAGTGACGGGTTGAAATGTTAATGAAATTTAATCATTTTTTTTTTCAATACAAAGGACAATTCTTTCCCTTTGTGATGAGCCTAGACTGAGCTCTGTTGATACATTTGTTTCTGAGTTATGAATAATTTTTAAAAAGTCTCAAGTGTCCATTTTACCCTACCCTCCCCTATACAATCATTCTCGTTGCAAACTGCAATACGACAGAGGAGAATCATATGTCCCGACTTTTCAGCTGTTAAATTTTCATGTTACAATAGAGGATCTGCTCGGGTTCTGATTTCTATGTTCACTGAATAAGATTTTAATCATAATGACAATTTAATGCCTTCTAGAACGCACTTTACAGTCTGAATCTGTGTCGGGTAAAAGTGCGCGTACACACTCTCATAATTTTTTAGTTAGTTCACAAGGTTATTCCATTCATCTGTTGTTCACCTCATCAATATAATTCCGTGCTTAGAGTATTATCTGTTCAAAGTGAAAAAAACGATCATCATTTTCACTACCTCAGTAGAAATTGATCGAAATTCTGCGACATTGCGCCAAAGTGCCTATACCTATAACATTGAATGTCGCGCGCGACGTTTTTGCGCCATAAAATTTTTACTAGAGTATATTGCATTCAGATTCTCCTATACTTAACGCCAAAAATGTGAGATAATCTCAGAATTCTAGCTATGAATTTAAATCAATTTTGTTCGAAGAAACCTTAGCAAATCCAATATTAAGAAAGTAGAATAATTCTATTTTCCTCTGACCTAAATGGTTTGCACAATTGATTCGGTTATTCATGTTTCACAGAATGGTATTCAATTCTCTCTTGTTTGTTAGACGGGCTTAATGAAAAGCGCCTGACATTCTCAATTCGTTCGAGATATCCTCCGTATTCGAGTTCTCATTTTCGACTCGAGATATTGCCAATGCTTTTTTTAGAAAGGATTACAAATACACGGTGAAATGTTATCGCATTATTAGGCCCACAAAGCAGAAGAACTCGTGGTATTATGAGGGAATATTCATCTTTTATTTCGCAGTTTTTTCTCAATTTCCGTAAAAATTTCCAAAATAAGCGCTTCGCCAAATCACCGTACGATTATGTGAGTTGTCCCGTTCTTCTGGGGAAATTTCACACTGAATTCGAAAGACTTCTCGAAATTCTTGAATTTCTTCGCAAAACTTCTGGGATTTCATGCAATTTCATTGTATTTACGATATTTCAACGGGTTTCATTCCATTTTCCACGAGATTTCAACGTCATCTGTTCACCAGCATTCGCCAGTGATTGACCCACTTGTCCGTGTATTGTATTGAATGTCGCTTGAAATAACAGTAATGAAATAGACAGTAAAAAATTGAACTCGAATAAAAACTTTTCAGATATCTTTTTTATTATGCACAAATCCGCTGGAAAGGCCGTTTGCCGTTGATGGACTACATAAACCCGCTGCAGGGCCAACAAATTTATGGTTCGTTATGAAACGCCTATTATTGACAACACTACAGTTAATGACTCCATCAATTAAGGTGGATTTGATTAACACCAAGTTTGATGTAGCACTTTGAATCACTAATTAATTGAATTATGTGTTACGTTCAACGAAAAGGAGCGCCAATTGGTGGCATTGGAGGTGGAACCATTGGTCGAGGGTTTAAGGGTGAATTTTGTCGATACTCTCTGATACCGGGTGTTTATCGGCACTACACCGTACAGGGCAATCAATTTATAGTGACAATACGTGATACTGAGGGAAACACCGTTTATAATCAAGTTCTATCGCCCTATCCGTAAGCACATGAATCGAGTCTTCTCGAGGGGTGACTGTCACTTGATTAAAATAATCTCTTAACGACTAGGAAATCGAAATATCTGTCAGCATGGAAGTGGGGTTTCGATGGTAAGAAGGCGAATTACACGGCGCTTTATCCACGATCATGGACTGAGTTTGATATTGACGAGCCGAGGGTGAAGCTTATCTGTCGACAAATATCGCCAGTCATTCCCCATAACTATAAAGACAGTTCACTGCCCTGTGCCGTCTTTGTATGGGAAATAATTAACTTGTCTGGGCGAGATTTGGATGTCAGTGTGACGTTCACGTTCCAGAGTGGAGTTGGGGGCAAGGCAATGTCAGGTACGATTAGTCTAGCAATATTGAGGAAAAAAACTTCATGCACAGCAAAAACGAATGTCTGAAGTGTACGGCATGTTGTAGACATTTTTCAGACACTAAAAAACGTTCGCATAAAATGAAAATTTGCCTGAATTTCAGACGAACAGGTGCCTAAACATCATGTTTAAAATTCAGACAAAAATAATTCATGTTTGAATAATTCATGTTTATTCATGTTTGAAATTCAGACATTGGTTTTTTACCAAAAAGTTATATGCTCTCATGAAGAGAGCTTCTGTCGTGTTCAATCAATTTACTTGTGGACAGAAATGAAAGTTTCCACCAAAACACGATAATTTCCATGAAACAAATGATAATTTCAAGAGGACACTACAATTTTCGTGTCGAAAACTGCGGCTTTGGCAAAACTAAATAATTTCGAGGAGTCAATTTTTTTTTAGGGAAAAATATTCTTTCCTCGTCGGTGTATTCTTCATATGGTATAATCCTATGGAGTTCTCCGAGGTGGAATTCCTCTAGGAATATTTCTGATGGTCATGAGAATAATTCAATTTTGCTGAAAAATATTAAATTCCCTTCTATGTTGGTCGATTGTCCGCAAGTAAATCTGTTCTACTCTATTAAATATTCTCACGTGGTACATATAGTTTTTCGGTAGAGCTAATTTGTTCTCGCAGTGTGTGAGAACGACAAACACTGAAAATGAGAATGAAAAATCGTGACTTTGTGGACATACATTCATTATTCATTTGGCTGGTTGTATTCATTATTTTTTCAGTTTTGTGCATTTAAAATTTTCATATGGGGAGACTAGAAGTTTTTCAATTTTACTCAATTCCATGACCCGCAAAAAAATTTTTTTATTTTCAATTTTATATTTTTGGGTAAATTTTGGGTGTCAGGGAGAGAGACAAAATGTTTTTTAGTTTTCAGTGTGTATTTTTAACGAAAACTCGCTATTCGTTTGATTGAGGGCGGCATAAATCGATAAGAGCATTATATTTCACTGAGAAAAAATACAATTCGAATTGCGCTGTATAATTAATAATGGAGCTGAAGATATTTTTGCTACCTCGTTATCGGGTAATGATGATACCACCAATGAGTAATGGCAGTGGTATAAATTTTACAGCATCAATTATTCAGTAGAGAAGTGTAAAATGGAAATCCCATTAGCTGAAAACAATTTTGAAAGTCATTTGAATGTTATTTCAGTACCACGTAGTGTTGAAATCCAGAGACAGCTACTAAACACCAGAATTTTTTCTCCTTGTGCATTTTTTCCCTGCACATTCCCACAAAAGTCACATGATTTTTCACCTCCTGCATAACTCTATCACGCAATTTGACTCCCACTAAATTCGATACCCCCCCGGTAAATGCAATCCTTCGATAGGTGAAAAATGGAACGAGTGTTTCGAATACAAAAGCACCTCCGGTGTGATGATACACCAGAAATTGAAGGAAATGCCATGCACGTACGCAATAGGTTCAAGAGCAAGGGAAAATGTTGACATTTCGAGGACTCTGAAATTTGATCCACTAGGCGATGGAATGGAGTTTTGGAAGTCACTCGAATGGACTGGTAAACTTGATGCTGAGCCAAGGAGGCAATCCCCAAAGACATGTAATTTTTTTTTGACAGACAGTACGGAAGGGCAGTTCTATCATATTATCTAATTTTATTGAATTCGATATAGTAAAGGATATTGCCTGTGGGGTTTGTGCTTCTACTCGGGTCAAAGCTGACGAAACACGGGAGATTGAGTTCACTTTATCCTGGGACATGCCAAAGATACATTTTGCGGGGAAATCACGAGAATATTTGAGGTGATGGCAAAACATTATAAATACATCAAATACATATACCGCCTGTTTCTCATGATGTTCATGAAACCGTTGTTGCTGGAAATAATCCGAGTACTGTTATGAATATCGACCCAAAAATTCAACCCGAAAAACGGTGTTCCAGGTATTACACTAAATATTTCAGTTCATCAGATGGCACAGTTGCGCCAGAAATCTGCCACCACGCATTGAATAATTACGAGACATGGGAATTGGAAATCCATAACTGGCAAAAAATGATTTTGAATGATAATGACTTGCCAGAGTGGTACAAGAGTGCTCTATTCAACGAATTATATTACGTAGCTGATGGAGGCTCCGTATGGCTGCGTACCGATGAACCTGATAATTTGGAATTCCAGGATATACGGTAATGTACAAGAATGAACAACTTGCATATTTCTCTGTTATCATTTTTTGGTATAACACCATGTTGCGAGAACTGTTTATATGAACAGCGTATGAAAATGGGTGGAAACAATTTATTAATGGGGGATTAAATATTCAAGTGAAGGAAAAAGCATTTATCATGGAGAGTTACAAATCCTTCAAACATGCATATAGCCCGATTCTCGTAATGTTCATTAACCCGTGGGTACTCGGAGATGATGCGAGTGCAGTTATAAATATTTTCCTAAAAATTCTACTCGATAAATCAGACGATACAGTTGCTTCAGAAATCTCTTACCAGATATATTCAATAATTAGGAGACATGAAAATTGGAGACATTTATATGATCAACGTATAAAAGCTGACGGAATAATAATTTATTAATGGGGGAATTAAATATTAAAGTTGATGAAACGCGGGAGATTGAGTTTACTCTATCCGGGGACAGGCCAAAGATACATTTTGCGGGGACATTACGAGAATTTTTCAGAGAACAGCAAAAGCATTTATCATGTAGAGTTATAGATACGAGATATCAAATATGCTTGCAGCTTGATTTTCACAATATGTTCATTAAGCCGTGAGAACTCCGATATAATCCGAGTGCTGTTATAAATATTCTCCTAAGAATTCCATCTGACACATCAGACGGTACAGTTTCGCCCGAAATCTGTTCCCAGGCATTGAATAATTACGAGGCATGCGAATTGGAAATCCATAACTGGCAACAAAATAATCTTGTATGATAATGACTTGCCAAAGTATAGATCAAGAGTGTTATATTCAATGAATTATTTTACGCAGACGATGGGGGCTCTGAGTACGTGTATCGATGAGCCTGAATATTGACAACTACTGTCTTTCAAAGCTCTTCAAAGCCGTTAGCCCGTCATCTCCCTTTTATCCTTAAAACTCTTAAAAAATATATATTTTCAACTCGTGAATATAATTTTTTCTTTAGTTCCCTTGAATTATTTTTTGTCATTCCGGCCATAAGGCAGTGCTCCACGGACGTTGCGCGTTGTGACTAGATAGTATATTTCGCCATTAGGCCGAAATGTACTATTATAAAATGAAAAAAGCAAGAAAATATGCAAGTTTACTATCAAGTATCTGTGGACAAGTGATCCAGTAAAACAATGAAATTTCTAATACTTCAAATTTATCCTATTTTTATAACTTTAGGTTTCTTGAATTAGGAATACCCGGATTGCTAAATTCTATTCGTCAACTTTCCTGTTCTAAAATTAGTCGACTCATTTTTGAATTTCCTTGTTATTTTAAATATATCACCTGACACTTTCACTGAATTAAGGTCGAATTAGCCTTCAATTATTCCGGACTGTTCCTCCTTTCTGAATGTTTTCAGTTTAAATTAGATTTTAATTTTATATTTCATGATTGTTTTTTTTTGAAGTTTATACCAAATCCGTTTATACCAAATACCAAGAGTTAACGAATCTCGTTTGGAATAAATGAACCAGTAATTAGCAATACTTGTTACATTTTACGAATGAAGTATTACTAAGCGTCCTCTAAAGTGAGTGCTTTCTTATAGGAGAGAATACGGCCAATTTGCATATCTCGAGGGCCATGAATATAGGATGTATAATACCTATGATGTACATTTTTATGCTGCATTCGCCTTGGCACAATTGTGGCCACATTTGCAAGCTAGCGTACAATACGAAATTCGAGATACTATTCAAATGGAAGATAATCGTGAAAGATCGTCACTCTATGATGGCTCCAGGCACGTAAGGAAATTGAAAGGCTCTGTACCACACGATGTTGGAGATCCCGGTAAGTAAAATTCTCGCACCCCTCCATCTACGTTTTTTCTTCGCCCTTTATAACACGGTAAAAAAATTGATGATCATGGATTTTTATCGAACTCAACGAACAGAGGAGGAGCCATTTCAAATGATAAATGCATATCCCATTCACGACGTATCCGCCTGGAAAGACCTGAATCCGAAATTCGTTCTCAGTTGTTACCGAGATTACTGTCTATTTGGTGATGTACAGTATCTCCGGGACTTTTGGCCGAGTATCAAAGAGGTACTTATCGTGTATATTTAAATGTTGAGTAATGATTATTACGGCCAATCATTACTATTCATGAGGCAGGAGTGTCGTTTTTCTCTTAAGAGAGTCACTTTTAAATTTTATTGCAATTGTTTGGTTTGTAAACACAGATTTTGGGCCGCAGTTTGGCTTGGGATAGAGATAACGATGGACTCATAGAAAATTCCGGCTTCCCCGATCAAACTTACGATAGTTGGGTGATGACGGGACCCAGGTAACCTATAATGAAAATACTAACAGAGCGTAAATTTAATTACTGATAAAATAATATTACTATCCTTCTCTCTCAGTGCATATTGCGGTAGCTTGTGGTTAGCATCTCTGCGGTGCGCTGTTCAAATAGGAAAACTTGTCGGGGATAACGAAAGCGCTGCGAAGTACTCCGAAGTATTGGAAAAGGGCAAACTTGCTTTTCAGGAGAAACTGTGGAATGGTTAGCTTTATATTAATATTAAATTTTCTCACTGGGAAGTTGTTTCTTGTATAGTACAGGGGGAAATGTATTGTTAATTGCAGGTACTTATTACAACTTTGATAGTTGCAAATCGGATCATCGGAAAGCCATTATGAGTGATCAACTTTGTGGCCAGTGGTATTTGCGAGCCTGCGGCTTTGACCATGATGTAAGGAAGTATTCAGGCAGTATTTATTGGGGTTATTCGAGGGATCTATAGAGTTTTGCACTGACCACACTGTAGGCTCTGAGGTTTTCAATAATCAAATGGTTTAATGAAGTTGCGGGAAAGTAATCAGGGGAGAGTTTTATGTCGTTAGGATCGTCCGAATCACGCTTGCTACGTATGAGTTTTTCTTTAAACATTTCCGTCGGATAAATAAACAGTGAAAATTGCGTAAACATCCGGAAACTTCATTTCTTTAATGGTGGGATCGATCTCGGGAACATTTCGCATTACAAAAAAAATTTTGCGGACTTGACGAGATCATTTCGAGCGCAGAAGATTTATCGTTCATCAATTATGCTTTTGTTCATTCATGATTCAATTAATAATTTATTCATTATTATTCTGTTATTCTCCAGTTTATTACCTTTATATGACAGCAACTTTCCAATAATTTTTTGGAACGGTATAATCGTCGCTTAATTCCCCTCGAATTGTTTTAATATTCAATTTAATTGCATGAGAAAAATTTGAACGACATCATGAGGCTGAATAATCATCGTGATTAAATTTTACAACATCGTTTTTTTTTCGAATATTCCGGTCTGACAAATAAATACTGGAAATTGTTTAAACCTTCGGAAATTTGGTTTAAATTTGGAAAAATTGATGTCTATTATGTTAGAAAATTTATTGGTCATCAATTATTCATGAAAAACGGTTTCAATTTTCGACGCCGGTAACTTTCTCATAATTTCATGAATTTTCCTCAAAAGTAAACTATTTTTTTTCAACTTTTTAGACCATTTACAAATACGTACTGATCGTCGTATAAATTCTAAACATCTCGCATTACCCAGTGTTTCAATTAAAATACCAGAAGAAAATGTAAAAAAATGCATCCACAGAATCCCCCTCATCCAAATTAAAATTTGAAAAATATAAATTTTTTCTTTCCAATTTTTTAGTTTACTGTGAAGTAATAGAAAGAGGATTTCTGAATATAAATGAATTGATTACATAATTGAGAAAATTATGTCGAGAGTAGATGAGTTATAGGTCATCAATCATTCATGAGAAAAGATCTCAATTTTTAATGACAGCAACTTTCAAATTATCGTATGGATCTTCCTCAAAAAGTAGACTAGGTTAATTCTTCTCCGATGTTTCAAGTATTTCCTAACGGTTTTAAATTAGAAATCAACACGTGGTACAGATTTCAAAAACTTTTGATGAGAAAATTATGATAAACTCTGCGGCAACATGAAGAATTGGGCTTGAATGGGGAAAAAGTTGTGGAAGGGCTTGGGCCTCCTCGAGCTCCACAAAATTATGATCCCTTTCATTCAGGTTTTCCCCGAGGAGAATGTGAATTCCGCTTTGCACGCAATATTTACGAATAATGTGATGAAATACAAGGATGGCAAACAAGGTGCAGTGAATGGTTTTCTCCCAACGGGATCCATAGATTACATGACAATAATGAGCGAGGAGATGTGGGTTGGCGTTACCTATGGGCTCGCCGCATTGATGATTCATCAGGTACTACGTCACATTATAATCAAAGAATGAAGAAAACTAATCAGTGAAATTCATTGCCACTGTTATGGGTTCATTACAGGGTATGGTTGATGAGGGTTTTCGTACTGCTGAAGGGGTATATCGTACTGTTTATGAGAACATTGGAATGGGTTTTGAGACGCCCGAAGCCCTGTTCGAGAATAATTATTATCGGGCGATTGGTTACATGAGACCTTTGGCGATTTGGGCTATTCAACACGCATGGACCATGAGAAAGAAAATAAACGACAAAGAGCAGCTGCCCAATTGAATGCACGATTCCATGGACGCTTTGTAGCTCCAACCATCGATTTTCAGTAAATATAGGGATTCTACATTGTACACGGAAAATACGGAGAAGGTTGAGGAAAAATTACTAGAAAACTCTGATAATTGGACAGTAGAATTCGGTTCTAGGTCTTTTTTACTTCATATCAAGAGAAAGAATGCAAGGCAAAGAAATGGTAAATTTTTTCTGTTTGCTCCTAAAAAATTTATCACTGTCGTCTAATTTGTTCTGAAATAGCGCAGTGTGTGTAGAATTCTATCAAAAGTTACGCCAAAGATTACATAGGTCGACATACTTTTTCCCTTACAAAGCGCCAAATTTTCCTGTGAGTTATAGAATTATTATCGCTCAGGAATTGGGGAATAAAAGGGAAAACCCATGCGAAAAATTTTAATATTTGACGAGAGGTAATTTAACTCCCACTTGAGTTACTCTTTTACTTGAGGAAACGTAAAATTCTCTGAAGACAAAGGAATTTTTCGATGAATTATATAAAACTACTCGTGATCTTCGAATCAATTTTCCCTTAACTTTTCTCCCGTAGGAATAGAATAGAATATCAGTATTGCAATTAAAATGAACGATTTTGTAATTCAATAAAACTCAATTTATTTTACAAATTTCTAAAATAGATCAATGCCTTCATCCATTTACAACAGCAATGAACTCGCTTTATTCCTGACCATTCGATATTCGGTTATGTGATACGGTTTCTATTACTCGAGTGGAAACTCAAATCAGGGTAGAATAAGCGACTGATCATTAAACACTGACATTCATCGCTTTTAGGTTAAAAATGTAATGCTTGTGTGGTTCCATGCCTGATCGAAATGTTAGGATCAAATTGGCTTCGTCAGTACCGGATCCTATTCACAGAAACACAAATTTCCCAGTATCACGGTACTGAAATCCAGAACCACGGTACTGGAATTGAAAACCGTTGGGTATTGAAGTGAAGAACCTTGGGTTCTTAAAATAAGAACCGTTGGGCGCATTCAAATATTGCGTCATTCGATTAAGGAGAGGCGGAGGTTCTTTATTTTGCCTAAGTTGTGATGCCACAACATATTGAATGAAGATAATTTGTGAAGACAAGGGTCAATTAAGAACCTCAAGATTTTGATTTTGAAAATCCCAGGTTTCTCGATTTCAGCACCGAATGGTTATTTTAACCCTATTTGGTCACCATATGAAGTTAACGCCGCAGCACGTCGTTTTTCGCTAGTTATATTAATTAATTGAGTAGATAACCGGAAAAATTCAGAAAATTTCTCTCCAATTGAATAACACATTATAGTGATTTTAGAACGATATAATCCAATTTTGAATTATTTCCTACAGAAGAATTCTTTTTCCCATGTTGAATGAAACGGCTCATTACGCAACGTTGCCGGAACCTCGGTAAACGCGCCCGGGCAGTGTAGAGTAAATTTGGCAACGTTAAAGCCTAAATAACACGACGGCACATTCCCGCGGAGGTGATCAAGGCGCATGCTTGCGTAGAGTGACCAGACTAGGGTTAAGAACAGAAACCACTGAATTTCAGTTAAAATTGCAGAAAACTAGAACTTTTTCACAGACAGAAACGTGTTTTCTCCCAGCTGTGTACGGATCCAGTCGAGGTTTCAGTGATCAGAACAGGAATTCACTCCGCCACATTGGATTCAGGAAGGCCCTTCTCCATTCGGTGAGTCCCAATGCGTATTTATATAAAAATATTTGTCATTTTATTTTTTTATATAGCCGTTTTTTTAATTATGTAAATAATGCAAATATCAGTTGTGACGTTGAATAAAAACATGTTTAAACAACGAAAAAACAGTCCCAATGCGTATGCGACTTCGCGCACACGACTATGCGAATGCTCGCGTCGTATGCGAAGGGTGCGCATTGGGACCCAACGACTCGAGAATAGCCCCTCTGATCCTAAGTCAAATCAAGAAAATTCTGATCAGTATTGGATCTACCGACGTCGGTGGCCGAAGCGGCTAGGTGCGAGCCTAGTGTGCGAAAGGTTGTGAGTTCGATTCCCCGTGGAACCGAGTTTTTCAACCGGAGGCTCTGGCGAGCGGGAGGTCGCTAATATAGTGACCGCCTGTATCGGCATGGGTTTTCTGTGGTTTCCCATGCTACTCCTATGTTCTATAGGAGTGCGAATGCGGTACAGTGTAGAATCCACAGCCGCATGCGTAGGGTTGGATAGGGCCGATTAGCCAATCAGAGGGCAGAAAGGGCCGGAATATATAAAAAAAAAAAAAAAGTATTGGATCTAGACACAAGCAAACTGAGCGAAATTTCCACCTGGCAAGTGACGAAGACTAACCGAGTTCACTCAGATATCAGTCAGTTTGAACTGCAACGGTGACGCTATAGTATTGATAAACCCACTATTTATCTGAATCGGTGGATTAGACCATTCTACCCGAAAATTTTTCACAATTCTCATCACAAGCGTTTCAATTTCCATTTCGGCGAATCGTCTGCCAATACATGTGCGGGGTCCAAAACCGAAAGGCATGTAGGCGAATGGATGCGCCTCTTTAGCCGATTTTATCGTGGCCAATGTGTTCTCCCTCAACCACCTCTCGGGTATAAATTCACCGGGTTGAGAGAAGTGTTCTGGGCTAACAGCTAGTACACTGTGAGAGGCTATTAAATCACACTGAAATGCAAAATTTAATAGTTGAGCTGATCAAACCGAGGAGAATATTTAGGGTGATAAATATGAAAATAATCTGACCCCTTTTGGAATTTGATAGCCACCGATGACAACGTCTTTCTGCATCGTTCGGAGGTTGCCAATTGCGATTGGGATTAATCGCAGTGATTCTTTGATGCACGCTTTAAGGTAAGGTATGTTATTCAAAATGTCGTATGTCACCGGTGATATTTTCTCCGTCAGCAAATTTTCCACCTCAGCGCGTAATTTTTCTTGCACACGGTGATTTATTGCTATGTGGTAGAGCAGTGTACCTGTGGCATTGCCAGTCTGAAATATGCTTCCATTAAATAATCGCTTTTCAGGATAAATTTAATCTTATTTACCGTGCACATACCGTATCGATTCCAGCGGTCAACATATCAAGTGCCATTATGTATGCCGTTTGTTCGTCAATGCTCAATAGACTCTCCAGTACGCTCCGCTCATCTGGTCCCTTTGGTGATTTGGAAAATCTTATTTGAGCTTCGTCAATGTGTTTGCAGGCAATTCCATTTATCAAATCCAGTGTGCGGAATAATTGTCTCAGTTTTTTTGTATCGTAGAGGCGCCACAGGGAGGGAAGGACTTCGAGTTGATAGAATAATTCAAACATTTTGTGAATTGCATTTATCATTCTCTGGGGATCGGAGTCTGGAGGGAGATTGTCTTCCAGGCAGCCCAGACGGTGATCCAGGGCGATTGCGCAAATTGCTGGAAATGTCTTGTAATTAACACGTGCGGTAGCACAAATTAATTAATGTTTTCATTCATGATGTAGTGCGTGGGTATGAGGTCGATATGTCCTATCTCTAAAAGTAGAACGTTTCTTGAAGTTGGTTTGTATCGAGATATATCGAAACTGACTGGCTAATCTACAATGCACTAATGCTCAATTCTGATTAGTCTATGAGTCGCGTATTCCTGGCTGTATTAAATGCAGTGGATTTCACTCTTTCATATTCACGTTAAATAATAATGAAGCTTTCATGATTTGAATGCAGACAAGAATAAGCGCGCGCCCGCTCTAGTGGTCAATAATATCATTCAATGGATCTCTGATGAATCATGAAGAATGATTGAGAGAATTTCCACGTTTACTCCTCACGGAGAGATTGAACTTTTTCACAGTGTGAAAACCACAAATCTACAACTCAATACGAGATGAATTTACTTCAACAATTGAGGGAAAAACTTTCTCATTATCAGCAAGGATTTACGGTGGCAGGATGCAGCTGTCACTCGCCCAAAGAACTCTAGTGACAAAAAACCTTGTTTTTTTCCTTCGAAATGTGTGAGTGCACGTGTTTGCGTCCCAGGTGATTAATAAAAACTTGCGGAGCATTTTCCCGCGCACTTACACTCGAGAGCCCACTTATTCATCTCGTTGTTGAACGTGGTAGGCAGTTTCAAAGTTTTTACATCTCGGAGTTTCCGTATTCTCGCGATAAAGTCACTGGCAACTTCGTCGACTTGCACCACGTGGGGTTTGATGCTCCTCGGCGACATCATATGCTGGTTCACATTCTTGCGAAAGTTGTGCCAAGCCTCACCTTGACTGAGAATAATAAATTCGGAAAACAAACTATTTTATTATGTTTCGGAATTGATTAGGAACTATACTGTCAGAAATTTTTTGAGATTTCATGGAAGATATTATAGTAAATCTCATGAGAGTGACGTTGAATCGAATTTTGGGAAAAAATGGTTATGAAATTTCAAGTTTTAAGTAGAATTCACCGAAATTCATGAGTTTTCAGTGGGAGTGGATGGAAATTTCACAACTCTCTGAATATTCAGAAATAAAATTACATGAATTTTCAATTTTTCCTTGAATTCTCCTGATTTTTCTGAATTTTTGCAGAATAATTGAACTCAAAAATCAAGTATTTCATTGATTTTCAGATCATTTAAACAGAAAATAAATGAAATATTTGATTTTTCAATGACTAGATTTCCTGAAATTTCAGTGGGACTTGAGCACGATAAAAATTTCCGGAATTTGGCCTGGAAAATTCAGACGAAAATTTTTAACAGTGTAGGATTGAATTCTAAAATTTTTGTCACCTAGCTACTAGTCCATATTTGTCTTTGTAAAGATGAGAATTTCTCTGGCGATAACTGGCCATTGTTTGAATTGCCACTCGCATAGGTCGGGGCCCTTCCAGCCTGTACATTTTTTCGCAGTCCTCCGCATTGAACAAAAACACGGCAGCTCGTCGACCAGGTATGCCCTCCAATTTGACGATATTCCCATAGTCCCTCTGGAGCATCAACATTTGGTCGAACGCGGATAGATTTGCATATTCACCTATTGAAATAGCACTTGCATTAAACACCCAATTACACTGTTGGAAAATTACTCTTAAATTTTCAAGTGAAAAAGCATGAATTTTTTAATAACGACAAAGTTACACGAAATTTCTGTATATTTCTTCATTGACGAATCGGTTAATCTTTTGAATATTCAAGTGATTCTCTATTTCCAGGCCCATACGGCACTGAAAAATGTTGAAAATTGGAAAAATTCAGGCAACAACTTTTCTGAATTCTGAATCTATTTAAAATTCAGGCTTTCATTGTAATATCAATGATCGTTTACCATGAAAAACCCAATTCTCTTGAATTTTCAAGATGAATGAGAAATTTTATGAACATTTTCATTTGAAATTAAATGCAAACTCACAACACTGAGAATTCAGATGACGCTGTGACTGAAACTTCAAGAAATTTCTAACAGTGTATATGGTGGTACACTGAGAAAAAAAAGTTTTTGCGAAGTGAGTCTTTATTTCAATCCAGAAACTCACAGCTTCGAAATTTCCAAGGCCAAAATATCTTACTATCTCAATGTAGAAGAAATGTTCTCAAAGAAATCTCACTTTCCACGAATAATTCACCCTTTAGTGATTACTAAAATCACTAACGGTTAGTCATTAAAATTTTGTGGTAAATACTCAACGAATGCTCGGAGATGACAAATTTTTATCGTGAAAGTAGATTTGGTTATTCCAAGAAATTAATGCGTTGTGTGCATTTGCATACTATGTCTATTGGTTCTGAGAAATGTTTATTTGCTGCAGAACAAGCGCCAACTAGCCACATTTCTGGTTCAATAATGATAAGTGATGATGGTCTGTATGAATGTTTCAACGAGATTGCTTTCATATCCTGAATCCAGTCACAGAATTTCAAATGGCTGATGAAAAGCGTTTGCGTGATAATCCAATTGCGAATGTTGGATAACATTGAGCACATCCCAGGGCAAAGCTCTGCGTTGACCTTGGTCATACCAGAATATTAGGGCAGAGTGGGGCAAAATGGGCACGTCAATTTTCTTTAAATCTACATAACTCATAAACAAATGATTATTCATTTGTTAAGTTCAGTTTACAAAGGGTAAGAATTGTTCTTTCGAAAGAAAAGAGTATTCTTCGTTAAAAACGTCATTTACCACAGCTTATGTAAATTTTTTTATAGCATAGCGTCTGCAACGTGCCGGTTTACAAGCTCGCGTGCGACAAAAAAAATTGTCCCATTTCATCGAAAATTCAATGAGCTATTTAGGGGGAGACTACTATGAGTTTTAAAAGTCGCGACTATCGGAGTGAGATTTCGCATGCATTGAAGATCGATTATACATGTCTAAAAACGAATAATTAGTTCAAAAAAATTAATTGTTTATCGTTCGTTTGCCCCGCCGACGCTTAAAATGTTAAAAATAGTCTAGGGCCTCCAATTTGTTAGCTACAGAGTTTTTTTTTCAAAATTAAAAAACAAATGTGTACAATAACAATTACCAATTAGTTTTTCTAAATTCGACTTTTACACAGGTAATTTCGTTTTAATATAAAAATTCGCGTTATTCACGTAAATAGGAAAACAAATTATCCTTAGAATATTTAAAATATATTCTCGATTCTTTTAGAAACATTTTTCGGGCAATTTTACATGAATGCACCCATTGAAATTCCGGTCTGAAAAGAATTTATTTGGCACAAATGAATTTTTTCTGTGTACTAGTTAAATTCTTTTTCCCCGCATACCCAGAAAAATAGTTTATTCGAATCAAATAGAGATGATTTAATTCAAATAAACCATGTACTGCGTGCAGCGTAAGCCGCTCAATTCAGCATCAAGAAAATGTTACCAATGAATGGCATGAATCTTATCATATTCCCAATAAGCGGCAGTGATTTAGGTCCCGGTATGTTCTCGTACGGTGTTGCCTGCTCCCACGTTAATTCTCTCTGATTTCTATGCCCAACCGGGCAAGCCGCAGCATTTGCATAGGACTTCATTGGAGTTATATCCCTTGGCAGCTCCTTCAGCCTCCTCACCCGCATCTTGGAGCCCATTGTTACTATTCACCGAGTGGCCACTTGTTACGATAGAAATTCAATTCATCTATTCACGTTTCGTTATCACTGATTCATTAACTCAACTTAGATCTGCCCGTATCGAATTGCATTCAGTGGGCAATTATCTGAGAACTTCCGACATTCATGATAGTAGTTGATTAGTTATCGAACAATCTTGATAACCCGAATTCACTTGGACGTACATTTGTGTGCTCACTAATTAGCTCATGTGTTGTGCTGTCCGTGATATTATTTCACTCGACAGATTTATGATACAATGAGTACTGCAGGTGTCCCTCGGTGCCAAGTGAATCGTGAAGCACGAGTTCCGATTGGAGAATAGAAGACATTAAATTTTTTATTCAACCGGTGGATAGGTGACACCGGAAACTTCACTGCGTTATAATCACTCTATTCACGCAGAAGAGCCAACTGCATACTGTGACATGATCACTGAGACAGGAAAGCGTCGATCAAAGTCCCTCGCACTGTAGGCTGGGGGAATATTGCATTAAGCGAGAGCACGGGTATTTCTTCTCCGATGTACGTCGATGGAAAATTACTGACGCGGATTAATAAAACATCCTGATAAGACGGGTGATCTTGCATAGACGAGGGACTTCGTATTCTGTAGGTCACCAACTTTTGCTGTTATTGTGATTCTCATTACGGCAATGATGCACTGAGAAAAAAAATACTTCTGTAGGGAAATTATGCTTCCTGAAGAGATCTTCTGTCGTGTCTATGTATGTATGTATACGTGAGTGTATATGTGATCGATCGTTTTTCGATGATAACTAATAGTACATTAGAGTACAAGGGCACAAATTTCGTTTTCGACGAATGTGAAGTTTACAGGCCGAGCCGAAGGCGAGGTCTGTATTCACATTCGTTGAAAACGAAGTTTATGCCCGAGTGGTCTATACTATTTTATGCCACATCGTACAGAAGCGCAGCGTGCGGTAAACTCGACTTATTGCACGGCGTGCCATAAAAAAATAATTGTTTAAATGAATCCAATTGTGATGTGAAATATTGTTCCCAATGACGTCGTGATCGAGTTCGATCAGGAGATTGATTCTATCATCTGTTGTTGAAAAAATTTATTTTGAAACCAACATTCAGGGAAAGGTAAAAAAAATTAGTAGTGAAGCGGTAAAACGGATTAAGCCGATTTAGGCCTCAGCCGAGTTTCTGAGGAATATCTCCGAATCTAAAGGAGATAACGAAATTTTCATAATAACCTTTTTTGTAGAGCGATTTAGAGGTTACAAAAAAGGTCTGAACAAAAAATGGTCTATTTCTCTTAGATTCCGAGATATTCATTGAAAACTGGCCAAAATCGACGTAAACCGTTTTACCGCTTCGTTACTGAATTTAACATTGGGTTATTGTTAGCTGCCAACGTTGGGTCAGTGTGCAATGAATCATTGAAGACAATTTAAAATCCATCGTCATAGAAACCCCATTCGAAAGCTAACTGCTAATTTATTATCAAAAATATATTGCCTATGGCGTGACGAAAGCAATTTCCCACTTGTTTTCTCCATTACCCACATTACAATCCACAGTGGACCATTAATCAATCAAAACCAAGAAATATTTTTGTCTCTAACAATACTTGGCTATTGCACCAGCTTTATCCTGATGGTTTGCTGATACCCCATTGTTCTATCACATTTGCGAACTGAATGTCCTTGGGATGAGTCTTTTCCAGAGACAGCTGGGTCGTGATCCCCCGCCTCCCTCTCCGCAATTCGGATTACATTGATGAATAAATTTCCATCGCAAGTGCTTTAATTTAAACTATTAATTTCGGCTTGATAAATGACGAATTTTCACGATTATTATTTAATTAATATTAATTGCATATTAAACAATTCATGGGCAGAAGATGTATCGATGATTCGTCATTAGCATTAATTGGACATTTACGATATATTGAGTCAATTAAAATTTCCAATAGTAATTTGAGGATCAAAGTTTTCCGGCCGTGAAAAAGGTACGTACCGCTGATAAATCACCTGTCAGGTGATTACGTCGTGATAAAATTGGCGACGGCTGCGATTGTTTGGTGTTTAGAGGGAGGGGGAGGGGGGCCCGGCAGCAGCGGCAGACAAGGGGGATTGATTAACGAGTTCGTAAACCTCATTTTGTGGGCTCCAGCTTTTATACGAGGAAATGTTTGATTCAACCATAATTGATGAATTTAATTACATACGAAAATACCCTCACCGTCACAACAGCACTAGGACAATTGTCCCGCACAAATGAGGAGGTATGGAACTAAGGGTGGTTTCCATGGTATTGGAAATAAACAGAACCAAAGTAGTGGAAATAGTTGTAATTACACCGGGGAGGGCAAGCAATCAATATGACGATGAATACAAAAATAGAGGTACATCGTACGGAAATAGTCGGGCAATTTCCCCATAACGCTCGCTCGTCGCATGCTTTCTCGGTGTAAATATGCGGATGCATCATTGGTCGGCGGGTGGTACATGGTCGTATCTATTGATTCAAGAACATTCAGGGTAAATACGGCTGGGATGTCATAAACCCGGAGGGGACTTATCGACTGAGATCATTGAGATTTTTGAGGTTGTCGCTGAGAATTCAACCACTCGATATCATGTCTGCTCTCAGCAGTGACAGGCTATTTTACTCAGCACGTGATCAAAGACCCTCTCTCTCTCTCTCCCTCTGCGTCATTGAGTTCTGGCAAAAGTCGTTTAGCTATGTCATGCTGCGTTGAATGACTATGTTCATTCATGAGCGGAGAGAAGAGATGAGATATTATGCAGAAAATCACGGAAAATTTTGCTGCCGGAAACGTAATCGAGCAACATTGAAATTAACGCAAATTCGGAGAGGGAACGAAATTTCCCGCACGAATTTTGTGATTTTTTTCCAATTTGTAAATAATAACTGGATGGATTTGAAGTTTCTGGGTGATGCTGCGTGTGAATTGACGTGTTGAGGATATCCAAGTACTTTGGCTATTTTTTCTCTAGTGAAATGCTTTTCTACTTTTGTAGTCGAACATCAGAGCTTTCATTCGAGCCCAATTGGATTTTACAATGATTTGATTATTTAAACTTTGCAAGTCTGAACCTGAATCTCGATATGGAACCGTTAGAAAACATTTTAAAAATCTGAAAAAAAAAATTAGAAAATTTACTTATGGAGGAAGATTAAATAAATAATAAGTAATTAAAAAATTGCGCTTTTCGAAAATTACTAACATTTTTTAGAAATAACGAATTTATTCATATTCAGAATTTTACCAGAAATTTTATACCTGAAAAATGAGGTTTTCAAACGTTTAAACAATTTTCATTATTTATTTATAGACAATGAATGATTAAAAAAATAATAATTCTGTGCAAAATGTAATTTGAATGACGCTGAATATTCCTGATTTTTTCCATTTTCTCTCACGCAATTTAATTTCCAAATTTGATGATTGAAAATTGTTGAATCTGTAGTGTGGTCTGTACCAAGAGGAAAACAATATAAAATGTCGGCAAAAATTCTGTTTTTGGACGAGTTTTTGGCAATTGTCCGCGAGCTAGGTGACGCTTATTAATTAATTCAAGTCTCTACGAGTCACCTATCTTGTATAGGTGCTCATGTAGATGTACGGCCATTATTTAGACCACCCTAAAAAACCCTTAAAAGGAATTTCTCTCCATGACCACTTGAGTTAACCAGTAATTCCTCCTCAACTTCTCTCTCTGTGTGAATGAATTATTCTTCAATAATTTGCACTCGGTACGACGAAAAATGGAGGCACGCAGGGATAACACAATGTGGCGTCATTCAATTAAGGGCTAGTAAAAAGTTTTAATCGCCCGTTTCCCCAGGAATAGTGGCTCGACAAATTGAAAGGCAAACTAGAAAGTTTGCCACGATCGAATCCGGTTAGTATAAACTTGGATATATACGTGTAGGGAAAAAGAAGGATTGAAGGGAGGAAGGTGCACGGATCTGTCAACATTTCGACGATGCGAAGACATTAATTGATCTTCGATCGACCCTCAACCTCGCTCCCCCCTCGCCGACGACGGACCATTGTCCTGGTTCTCCGGTTGAGCTCGTTACTGAAACTTTTAACTCGACTCGCTCCCAGCTAGCGAAAAAAGTAGATGAGGTAAAAATGGGGGAAAAAAGTAAATAACACGATCACGACATTGATGTGACGGGATCTCTTCTATTTTCTATCATGTGCCGCCAAGTTTTTTTCTTCGGAGTGCTCTTGAAATTCAATTAAAAACGGTGGCCTCAATGTATCGGCGAATGAACGCGATTTAGTCACTGAACCGAATACTTTTTTCGATGAATAATTCTTCCTTCGTCTTTCTTATTATATCATTCTTCACGCTTGAGAGAAATGATGAATTGACTTGATTGTCACTGTGGAGACGTTCTCAGATTCAATGATTCGACGATGCGAACCCGGTGAGAATTGCATGCGCTATTTTTGCAAATTCATGGGTATTCCTGCTTCGTAACGGAAATCGGGAGGACGAATGAAAAATTGAATGAATCAGGATAAGAATCTATTTTCATGATTGTGAGAAGTCAAGAAATACGTTGTTAAAAATTTTCGGTTAAAATGACAGTTGTTCTGCAATAATTTGATGCTATATATTTATATTTTGATAATTTCCATTTCCGGTATAGACTTCTTACATTACAATTATAATTTATAATTTCCAGTACATTTTTTGAAAATTTTGATTGAATTTAATTACCACTGAAATTTCAAGGAATTTCATCATTGAAAATTCAGAATTTCGTGAAAAAATCAAAGGCAACTGCAAATTTCAGTTCCATTTTTCCCTGGAAATAAATAAAAAGCCAGAAAATTCGGTAACTATATTCTTGAATTTTCAGAACAGGCACACTGAATACGATTTAGGGGGAAAAAAATAATGAAATTTCAGATTTCACTGACAATTCAATGTAATTTGGCACTGAATATTCACATTAGATTGGAAATTCAAATAAATAACGCAATTCTCGTCTTTGCGCTGCTTAAAATTCGGAAATTTTACTAAATTTTCAGTAAAACCTGAAATTTCACGATTTTTTTTCCTCTAAATCGCATTCAGCGTCACTGTCCTAAAAAATTAGTAGTCAACGGTCCATGAAATTTCATTTTTTTTTCTAACAGCGTATAATCCCAATTTATTGACAGAATATCCCTGACCATTTGGACCTGTAAAGTTGAACATTTCCCCTCAATCATAACCATATCCCCATAGCCACATTGTGTACCGCAGCCACGATCGATTGATCACCTTCTGTCCCAATTTAGACCCCCGAAAGAAAGAACTGATGTTCCCAGGTGGGATCACGCCATCTTGTAATACGATTCCACCGAGTTAGAAGTTCGCGTGGATATGAAGAGTAAAAGTAATCTTGACCTACGTATCTATGCTAATGAGAATATTAGGCGATTCTACTTTACGTGCACGTATGCTAATGATCCCACCTTCACCATCATCCCCCCCTCGCCCCCCATATGCATATTTATTGCACGCGTTGCACGTGGAGAAATGCATATGTTAGCGCTGTATTAATTCCAACATTCAGCAGTGAGGAGAGAATGAGATGGCTAAAAAGAGATGGTGTAAAACGTGAATGAAGCCAAATAAACGCCTCGCAGCATCATTTCTACATTTGCAAAGCGCCATGTTGTGGTTTTTATCCTCGTTATTCCCTGGGAGTTGAAAAAATATTTCCATATTTCCATTGTGTTGCGCTTTGTCTTCATGCATTAGCCTTTCATGTCCTTCCGCATCTCAATGTTTGCTCATATCCTTCTTTTTCACATTTGGGTTTACGATTTCAATGTCTCAAATGATAAAATTCTGGCTTTATCACAAAGACGAAGGGCATTTTTCAAATTGTACTTACTCTGTAAATGTTTTGTTTTTTGACATAGAATAGTTTATATCACAGGATCCACGCTGAGAAAAAAATTCCTTTTGCCGAGGTATCATTTTCTTGGGACAAGAATTTATTTTTTAGGAGCGGATTTCTCCAGGACAGTCATTCCCAGGCGGTCCAAGTCGATCTCCGAATATTACAATTATGTTAAATTATGGGAGGATTATGCTATATGACTTTGAATGAATTCCATTGACAATTATTAATATTTAAAATTATTCCAAATTATTTTACATAAGAAAATCTCAAAGTAGAAAAAACTGGAAAATAATGAGGGATCATATTTGGAGGTGGACATGGACCACATGGGAATGGCTGCCCTGGAGAAATACGCTGCTAAAGAAATAAATTTTTCTCCCAAGAAAATGATCCCTTGGCAAAAGTTTTTTTTTTCTCAGTGCACAATGTATTTTCGGATGAATGTGAGTATAAAAATCGCCTTCGAGGGTTATAATCACATTTTTTTAAGCCATCTCCACACACGGAGAACAAAAGTGGGAGACAAATTACTGAACAAGTCAAGTAATCGTGGAGCGAACTCGATTTTCAGTATTTTTTCACCCTCCATCGGGGAAAAAATACGAGACGAATAGTGAATTTTTCTCCGTCAGCCCGGTAAAATCTCCTGAACGTGAGGGTGATCTGTGCCGAAACTGTCAAATTTACCGAGCGCTTCATCAAAAATTATCCCAGTGAACGCGAATGATTACTCAATACTGTGTACAATTTTTCTGCAACGGAGAATAATTTTTGCAGCCATAGATGTGTTTTTTTACCGAGCGAATTGGAAATTTATTTCTATCTCGAAAGAATTCAGTATAAAATTTCAAGTTCCGTGAAATTGTAGATTCATTAAATCGTAGTCCTTGCATGCGCAATGTCAGAACTCCAGAGCAATATTCTGATTTTCCGAAAGTTTTGAGTTCCGCAATATCTGCGACATTTCACACGAATTAAAACATCCTCCCCCAAATGTTCTGTCTCGTTTCGCTCTATTGTAAATTCTCACTAGACGAATCATATGACTGAACTGTTAGCTGACATCAAAAGACACTGATTCAATAAAGAGAACAATTGCCAAAGTGGGCGACGAGTCGTGTCGTGATGGCTCCTTAACTCATTACAATGAAAGATATATAGGAGGCCAGAGGGGGTCGCGCTCCGTCGCGTCGTTCTCCACTTGTTACTAAATACCTTGGAGGAACGACGCAATGGATGAAACATGCGACATACTTTTCACTTCGGTGGAGAATCATGTTAAAGTTTTTGGAATGGGTGGAGTGAGGGGTTGTGGTTGTCATCGGTTCCTTCAGTACCATCTGCCTGACTGTTCTCACCTTGGAAGTTTAGAGGCAGCCATCGAGTGATTCCCGAGTTTGTTACTCTACTTTATGGTACAAAGGAAATTTCTGAGGTAATGGTGAAGCGATGTTGTCCTCTGACACTCCCAGTTGGCCTGTACCGTTGAGTGAATTCGGAAAATTCAACTATGTCACACGAACAATTTATATGGAAATCAAACTTGTCCTCATCATGGACATTAAATTGCGTAGGAGGAGTGAATGAAACTGGCGAATATTAATCAAAGTATTGTATCATTCATCGCGAGGGTAGGGAAGTATCAAAGGCATTTGTTCCACTGACACGCGACAGGCCGGATGGCTGAGTGAAAGGCCTTGAGGTGAAATTACATGGAATCAAGGATGCGACCGCGTCACCGGAGGAGACAGGAGAGATAGGAAAGCATCAGAAAGAAGATTGGTAGAGCAAGGAGATGGGTATGGCTGGGCTTATGTCTCTGGTATGTTGCGTTACGTGGCCTTGCTCTCGTTGTTACAGTTGAGTATTACGAAATAAGGAGAGACCACGAATACTGTTGTTGATGCGTTTGTAGGAGGCTCATCGTCTCTCATCTGCGGAAGATGAATAACGCTTCAAGTACGCTGAGGCGCGGGCTGCTCGGAAGGATGCCCACCGAAGCATTCACTTTTATTTCGCGGTATGTACGCAAAATAACCACCACCCTGGGGGCTCCTCCCAAAGATACTCAAACAACACCTGTATATAAGAAGAGTCTCTTCATAGGATGCAAATCAAATCAACCTCTGGCCGAACAGAAGAAACATGAAGGTAAAGAGTGTCTCGGGATTAGCCTTTTAACATCAATTTTTGCGAATTGTTAACAAGTGCTTCGAGTCCATCTAAAGGGGTAATACCTCGGGGTGAAGTATTGTCACACGATTAGGGAAGAAGGAGGTTATTTAGGTTCTGATGTCATATTATATATTTTTTAGATCTTTAATAGACAAAATCGCAGATACAATTGTGTTGTTGTTTCCTTTTTTTACGAAAAAACAGAGGTTCCACCGTACTGTTGAAAAAATTAAATTTCATAGACAGTTCACTAGTCGTTTCCAGAAGAGCGACATTGAATCCAGTGTAGGGGGAAAAATAATAGACTTTCAAACTTACTAAATTTTCAATCAAAATATGAATATTCGGTACCAATTTTTAATGAATTTACAGTTAATTCAAAATTCAAGAATATGTTTACCTGAATTTTCCTGATTTCTATGAATTTTCATGGAATAATTGAACGGGAATTCACAGTTTTTATTGATTTCTCCATAAAATTCTTTCAATGACGCAAACGAAAGCTCAGTGGAACTAAAATATGATAAAAATGTCTACGAAGCATACGAGAAATTTCAATACAAAATTCTAAACAGCCTAAAATTCCAAACTATCCCAAAAATTCATAAAGCGGAATTTTCGAAAAAAGTGATGGCAACAATTGGATAAGTTCCAAAGTTATGAAGAAACTAAAAAAATCGCCATAACCTATTGCGAGGTATATGGAAGGGGGCTTCGCGGTATAAAAAGTCCCAACAGCATGTGACGTGATATTAGAATGCCCCCTAAACTGATATTTTCCATTGCACTACTTTCAGTGGGTAATTATTGCGCTGTCATTGATAACGACGAGTGGAGCGAGTTTAGAGCCAACGGGCTACAAACCACCGGTCACATCAGCGGCGTCCGACCAATATCTACCCCCGAGTTACCGCGGTGCATCACCACGGGGAGTCCTAACACCGGAATCCCATTATCTTCCGCCAAATCACCAAAGCTTACCCCAAAATGTAATACCAAATTCTCTGTACTTACCGAGTGCTCGCCCACCGAGTAGCCTCCACAATTCAGTTTCCCCCTCATCGCTCTCACTACTCAGCGAACGATACTTACCCTCCCACCATTCCTCTCCACCTATTGCCACCCCAAGTCACCATCATGCATCAGATACCGTACAAGATAGCCGTATCGGTCATCATGTATCACCGAACCCACCCCCCTCTCGTGTAACTCAACATACTGCCAATCGGAATATCGTTTCCTCTCAATATCTACCCCCGAGTCAGCGCGATGAGACATTCACCCAGGCAATACCCTCATCCACCTATCTGCCGGCTAATCAGAATCAATACGCTGAAATTCAGCCCTCAACATCGATCGTACCCCCTAATACCTATCTGACGCCAAACAAGTTCTCAACTGCGTCGCCTGGAGGATTCTCAGGATCACATCTCGATCGTGGCGATAGCCACTTAAACTCGGGGAGACTGAGTCAACCAGCGGGACACTACTATCCCGATAGTGGTTACGATATATCGGGAAGCAACGGGGGATACATGTACGAACAAGTAAGTGATTTTCACCCTGGATAATCAGCATTAGCTGGGAATGGAGTTGATACCATTCGTGGCAGGGTCTGCACATTCCAATATTCACGCACGGAGAGCAATATTCAATGAAAATTACGTATCTTTTCCGTAAGTCCGGAGCGAAATGTGGTTGTAGGAAATTTTACGGAACTGTCACGGAATTTTTCCAGAGCCTTCCGTTATTTTTATCTGCATCTCCGGGGAAAAATTACGATACCGTCACCTAAATTTTCTGAACCGATTCCGTAATCGGTGAGCGAATTGTGAGTTCCGTAATTTTTACTGAATATTTCTCTCCGTGCGGTGAAACAAAAGTTTTGATTTGGGGGAACGTGTCACTTTTCTGAAATCTATTGCCAATTATTGATAATACTAAACCATAAATACTGGCTAAGATAACTCTGGGTTCTCTGGAAATCAGTGACTTTTTTCAGATAATTGGTGACTGTCACTGGGGATTAGTGTAATGGTACTCAAACTTGGTGACAATATCACTGAATTTCAGAATCTCGCTCATTGAATTTCACAATCATGAATTCGTAATAATTGGAGATATATTCCGGGATCTCAGTGACATGTATCTGAAAATCAAAACTCGTCTTCTATGTGTTTCCATTTGAGAATGATTCTTTCCGCTTTACATTTTGATGATGTTGAAGGGCGCAGGTGATGTTCGCTAAAGAGGCGAGAAACTATCGGTTTAAATTTAGAAAGTGCCGATTTTTATTGCCCGAGTGGATCTCAAGATATCGATGAAAAAGTCTTTATTCAAGGAAATTGATTTGTGGAATGTATTGAGAGTTACGGAGGCGGAATAGGTGATCTTAATTGACATTCAGGATAAAAGTGTAATACCTTGCAACCTTTGGCCAGCCTTTTCCCTTTATTTAAAGGAAAAGCTCGAACGAGAAAGAAAGAGTATCTTTTCTGGGTCAATCTTTTTTTAGAGGTCGTGAAGACGCGGTAGTGGCGAACACTACTGACATGCGCTGAAATTAATTTTGTGATAGTTTGCTTTTTTTCACATTTCGGATGAAGTTATGATATTACTTGCAACGTTCAACCTTCTCAAGTTTCCAAACAGCAGGTCTTATTAGTACAACAAAAAATAGTTCTAGTTTTCAAGAGGATAGTCCTAATTTCTGAGAATGCGCGGTTACGCACTTGAAAGAGTGGGAAATCATAAAAAAATGTGACAGCTGCATCTCAATTCTCGACGTTGTGAGTTCCAATTCAATTTAAGATTACATTGTGAGTAGAATTTTTCGGTGTTCTTGGAAATGCAGTAGAATTGATTCAGTGTGAAAGTTGAACATTCAATTCAATGAAATTTTAATTCAATTTCAAAATTCAATTGTTATGATCGCAAAAACTTAAATATTGGACTTTCTGAGAACCTGCGGTTCTGTAATTGAAAGAGTGGAAAATCCTTTGAGAAAAGTGTTTTTGTCACTAAGTCGCAGTGATTTGATTCTGAAAATCAAACAGACAGTTCTGATTTTCACTAACTTTTGTATTGAATGTCAGATAATTGAATAGTCAACAACTGACTAGTATTCGCTCTTATTGTACGGGATAATTTTGTAAATTCCAGACATTAATTCTCCAGACTTCAGTGAAAAAATCCCATACTTCAAAGGCAACTTGAGTTAGAATCAAAACCGCCCACAAATTGGGCATATTTCCATGAAAACTAAAACTTGTCTTCAAGATTTTCCTTTCCGCATTTCATTTCGAAAGTAGTGAGCGTTTCATATGTTAAAATAAATTTTGAATCCTCTACTTTGCAGCCTCCAGCCAAGTACCAGTTCGAATACCGCGTGAATGACGAATACGGTAATGATTACAGTCACAAAGAGTCTCGGGAAGGTGACAATACCCAGGGTGTCTACACAGTGCTCTTACCAGATGGTCGTAAGCAGATTGTTCATTACAAGGCCGATCGAAATGGCTACATGCCAACGATCACGTACGAGGATGCTGCACCAGGAAAGTCTGGGTACAATCAAGGATACTAGTTGGATTATCACAATTTTATCTCCCGCCATAATCTCATTATTTATAATAGATGGAATCAATGTAGATTAAACAATGTGTCTGAAGAGCATTTTCGATATTCACTCCTCAATAGATGACAATGCCAGTTACTTGAATTAACTCTACTGAGAGAAGAAACAATCCCATATCCCGAAAATAATTTCCCGAGCCAAGAGGATAGCGTAATATTCGATCAGTGGAGAATAGATATCTGAGGAAGATTTTAAACAGAAATTCAATATTTCATTTCGAAGTGAGGTAATATTATTGGAATGATAAGGAACTTGATGAGAGGATATGATCATCTCTGCCTTTTGAATATTTCAGAAATTCATATATCCTAAATGTCTGGAGATTTCTTGCGCATGCATTTTGGATTTATTGAATATGAAAGTTCATGGTTCATGATTCACTAGGTTGAAGCTTATAGAATTGTGGTTATTTTATCATCTGAAATTGAGTGCAAAATAAGAAGATAGAGTTATCACTTTTTTTTAATTCATAAAAAATCCATATTTTCAGAACCTTTGGAGATTTCTTTTGTATGAATTTTGTGTTCATTCAACATGAAAGTCTTTGATTTATAAGTCATTTATTCGAAGCTTTTAGTATTTTATTTATTCTATCATCCGACATTAGAGGGCCAGTAATAAGAGATAGAGTTATCTCTTTCTTTTGAATATTTCAAAAATTCATACTTCAAGAATATCTCGATTTCCTTTGAATGAATTTTGTATTCATTCAATATGAAACTCTGTAAGTCACTATTCACTGGATCGAAGCATTTACTATTTTCAGTTATTTTCTCACGAGTTAAAACACTCAATTCTGACTCGTTTTACAAAATTCCCGGCTCAAATGATTTTTCGAAAAGTTTTGCGATATCAGGTCGTTCTGTCTTCAAGTGTACATCTGATATATTGAATCGTTATTCATATACTGCATACGTACTTTGTATTGCGTCAAATTGAAGATAATAAACTTGATGTGTACTGAAGAAAGTGGTTGCAATTCACCCTGCATTTATGGTTGGAAAATGGTACGTGCTATCAGAGATGAAGCGAGACAGGAATAATTCGTACGTGAAATATGTTGGTATTTGTAACAGAGGGGAAAGGAGGGTGATGGGTTTATTCTACCGCTGTGTGCGAGATGGATGCGCTATTAGAAGCGCAAGGCCTTCCCTCTGTTGAAAACTGTTACTCCATCTCAGATATCTCTCATTACTTTCACATTTTGCGTAAATAAACTCATCCGTTTTTTTCGATTCTATCACATTTATTAAGACTTTGGAGAATAACCACTTTTTAATTAATTTTCCTCGTAATCCCTTATCATTCCCATCTCAATGAGTAAAGGATTATGGAACGGCGTTGATGGGCGAATTAAACTACGAAGGAATGAAATTCATTTACAGATACTGGAACGAATAATTATAATGATGAAAGTCCGATGAACGCAGTTTTCCTTTTGATCATTTGTATTCTTTTTACGTCCACATCATACTGGATATTTTTCAATGAATTTCCGGGCAAAAGTGTAGGTGGCTATGATCAACTATCGTGAAAATCGTTTGCTTTTGATACTTGAAAGTACAAGGTTCCTCTAAAAGCTCAAAGCGTGAAAGCTTTTAAGCAGAGTTTACTATTTTTTTCAAACTTTCATTTGCATTTCTTTTCATTCACCGCATCGCTGAAGTCTTTAAAGGTATAGGGAAAGCCTCTCTCTCTCTCTCCTCTCTCTCCGTTATTTATTTACGTTTGTTTGTTTTTTTTTCATTCAAAAGGTGAAAACCGCCCTTTGATGCCTTGATGAATCATAAACCATGCGTAGTTTCCCCATGTTTACATGCGCGATGAGCTCAAAGTTTAAAGGAATAAGAAGCCAGTAATGTATGCAATTTATAAATATTTTTATATGCAAAATATATAATACATTGAACAGAGTTGATTGAACCGTGAAGATAAAAAAAATCAATAGGAAATTTAAATGGTATTATCTCTACATAATTCAGCGATATCAACGTTGAGCTATTTTACAAACAGTAGTACATGTTTCAGTAACTAACGAGAGTACACATAAAAAAAAATCTTTAGGAAATATTTATGACTAATGTGTATGGTATGGCAGTGTAGCGATATTGTCGCACTGGGAATTCAACATTATTTTCATCTAACGAGAGAGATATATTGACAAAATACATCATATCACGAGGGGATGGAAAATAGCTATATCGCGAGTTCATTATCGCTGATATTTCTTTAAAATCGGTACTTGTTTGTAGTTGATAATGTACAGTCCAATGATTATTTCAATAATAATGAATGTCGGGTTAAACTGCAATCATTGATGCGAGGTATGGGTCTTGTAGTGGGATATTACAGTTAAGATCTTAATGTGGCAATAGGCCCAATAGTCGTTGTCCATGTACGAAACTAATAACGATAACCATTGTTTCCACTTGGGTAACCGGTGCCACCGTCATTTCGGTAGCCATTTCCCGTGCCCTCTTGTATGTAAGTGACTACCGGTCTGAAGCCATTTTGATCGGCGATGTACTCCACTGTCTGACGTCTACCGTCAGGCAACAAGACGTAGTAGACACCACGTGCCACATCACCGTCGCGACTCTCTTTATGTCCAAAGTCATTTCCACTGTCAGCGTCATTCACCATGTACTCGAATTCGTATTTAGCCGGTGTCTGGAATGATAAAATACAGGGGTAATAATAGCCGGGAAAATTTTGTTAACGTTTCGTTGAGTCCGATGGGAGATGTTTAATGTGACTGACGGTAATGAACTTACGTCATTGTATCCATCACCGTAACCACCACCGGGTGCACCTCCGGGTGGTCCATATTGCTGATTCGGTGGTAGGTATTGATTTGTTCCAAATCCACTGTTTTGTACATTTTGGCCTGGTTGACCACCACCGGGATAGTCGTTTTTACGTGGGGGACCGTACTGCTGGTCAGGGGGTAGGTATTGACCAGTTGGGGGCTCTGGACGGGCTGAGGCTAGGGTGGATACTGCGAGTATCATTAACGATGATCCCAGGAACATCTGAATCGAATGGGGTGGAGTAATGCATCAAGTTTTTAATTGAGAAGGCACGAATCATTAGTTCGGGCTCAGAATGTTCATTCTATTTTGGTTCTATGCAGGGTTTCGAGATTTGGGGTGAATTTGCGTTGTATATTTCCTTAATTATATTTCGCAAATCACATATTCAATTAATTTAAATTAATTTGATGAGAAAATCAATGGATTCTGTTGATTCAATATTAATTATTCTGTGGAAATGAGAAAACGTCAGGGAAATTTCACGTAATTACGGTATTGCATTTGAATTAAACCCTCAGGGATGGGGTTTTTAAAGTTACATTTTTGCGAAATTATGATGGGTAATATAATTACACGAACAACATCGGAAAGAGGATTACCTCAGCCTCAGTTATGTGTCGGTTTTATTGTAATTCCATTAACAAGAAATGATCGCATTTCAGAGGTATTGATCTTAGAAATTCAAGAAAATTGATTCATTGTGAAAATTGAACATAGACCGTAGCGTAATAATTGGAATGACATAGAGCGTAGACCTAATAATTGGAATTCCATTGAATATTTCCCTTTTACCGGGAAATTTCCGCTTGAAATTGCACAGTAGCTGTTCATTTGACGTTGGAAATTCATTAGTGGCTCTACATTTATTTTATTCTCGAGTGGAAAAAATACTCCAAAAATACAATTATCGGTTATTGTCCTCAAACTTTATTGGATGGAAAACAATTTTCTGAAGTTTGCAGAACAATTTGACATTTTTTCCTCATAAAATAAAATTCCACATAAAATTCCTAGATTTATTTTCCCATCCCCACATCGAGAATTACGCATTCCCAAATTCCCCTCAAATTTCCAAACAAAAAAAACTCTGAGATTCATTCGAGTTTACTAACACCATGTTTCACGATTGCAAACGATTTATACGAAGCAAGAGTTCTGCATTCAATCGGAGAGAAGCGAGAACACAAAAGAGGAGAATCGACGATAATGAATCAATTTGACTCGGATAGTGTCGCAATGCGTAACTGCAGGAGTTCTATCCATTAGGCGTTGAAATCTGTAATACCAATCTCCATTGCTTTGTCCCCCCTCCCCTGGTATTCAGAGAACGATAGGAAGTATGGTGTTGGTGTTTTGGCACGGCTTCTGGATGCTCGAAAATCGGGTTATGGGAGAGTAAGGATTCTCAACGGTCTAGCGCCTTCAGTGTTGTCTAGTAACACAGTATCCCTGCGATAATAATTAACTTTCCCATTCGGCTGGCTATAACACATATAAACGCGCATAATGGGCCTCGCGGGACGCGTAGGAGTCTCCGGATATTTCTCGCCCCATTCATTCAATTTTTTTTCCCCCTCCGTCATTGGACATTTTTCATTCGCGTTCTCTTCGCTGGTTTTAATCGCTTTTGTAATGATCGCAATGGAGTCTTTTTCGCCATCAGTTTCTTTCCATATTTTTCCTTCTCTGAATGCCCCAGTTGAATTCACAGAGACATTGAGCTGATTCAGGCATGGTTATCACCATGTTTATTGGTCAGTAGTGTGCGTGAGGAGACGTCATCAACGGCGCAATCTCTTACAAAGTATCATTGGTGAATGGGAGATGCGCTGAATGCTCTGAACGCCTTTTCCACGATGACACGGTTCAATGATAGAGACCGAGACAAAGCCGTATACGCTGGGGATAAGTTTTGATGCCACAGAGCTCAGCATTTGCGTAATACCACACACGCATCTCTGAAGATGATGTCTCTCGTGTCGTGCGATGCTCGTATTCATGGTGAATGCAGATGCCGAGCGGTTTTATCTAGGGGTTTTCTTTTTTTGAAAATTCCACATCAGAGCTCCGGGTTTTACATATAGGAAAATTAATAAAGAGAACGCTGGGCGTCGTGTATTCCGTGGAAGATTTCTTTGACAACGCGGAATTTTTATGACAAGTAAAAAATGCGGAGTGCATTGCTGTGCTGGCCTTCCGTCGACTACAATGCTGTATTTCTTCCGGGAAAATTGTGATATTAATATTCTGTTGGATAGGTAATTGGCTGCGTGGCATCGCAAAGCTCTCGGGTCTCTATACGTCATGAATTTAATTAATAATATTAAGCTCAAACAAATTCCTCGCGGTGTTTTTTTTCAATCTCGCATGTAGATCCGTGAAAGTCGAAAGAAATCTACTTTGAAATTTTCCAAACGCTCTTTGAGGGAGGAAGGCTCTTTGATTGCTGCAAAGAATTCCCCGAATGGAAATTATTCTTTCATCAAAGGTTCGGAAAAAGCGCTCGCTGAGGTGAAGACCGAATTACTCATTACAGTCAAGTATCAAATCCCTGCCCCTGACAAGAGGGAAATAAATGAGTAAATTCTTCGAATGGGGGAGTTTATGGTATTGTATAACAGAAGGAATAATATGGCAAGTAATAATGTCTTTTGAAGAGCTTCTTTTTCTTAATTCATGTTTCAAAGGTATTAAATTTCGTACATTTGTAAATGCACAATAAGAATGGATGATACGAACAAGAAAAAATTTGTTTTTTGCGCAGATTCTATTAGATATTTGATTGGAAAAAGTCAACAGATTGCGATTCATTTACTTGTGAGAAGCTTTCTTTTGTTCATTCAAATTTCAGATGTCTTGAATTTCATACACTCACAAATATATTTAAAAAATAGATGATACATAGGAAAGAACTCAATCAATGATAAAGATGACTGACAAGTTAAAAATTAATGGATAACTTTGAATCTTTGATCAATTCCCTTTCGCTTTTCCCAAGTGATCCGATTGATACCCGTAATTGTTGAAAAACAATGTGTTGTGAATTGGTTTTCTAGAAAAGTGAAGAATTTTCTAGAATTATTCAGAGGAATCGAGGATTCTCGAGAGAACTGAATAATTTTTACAATTTTTTTCGACAGAAATAAAGAACAAACATTCTCCTAGAACTGTGTATCCAAGTGAAAAAGGGCAGGAAAATCAAATTTATGTCACTCGCGAAAAAAGGAAAATGGAATTAATTGAAATTGACCCCTCAAGCCCTGCGTCGATGCCACGTGTGAATGCATCTCTTTTCAAAGTTGAAAATTTCCGAAAATATAGAACATTTCAAATTTCCACACATTTTGTTATGAATTCGAAGAATAATTCGTGTATTCGAAGAATTTTAAAATACCGCGTGTTTTATTAGCGATTCATTCACCAATCGAATTAGCGGTCGGGCAGTTTCGATTTATTCTTGCAAGTACTTTCAATTTTTTGCTTTTTGTTGTACAGATCGTGGGAAGGATAATCGACAAATGATCTACACTGTTAATTTTTTTTTGAAAATTAAGCAATAGTTGTACTTGAATTCTCAATATTGTGAATTTGAATTCAATGTAAAATCCAATTCTTCATGGTTTGCGTCTTTCGTGTTAGATTATCACGAAAAATTCAAGAACATTGCTGCTTGAATTTTCAAATTATTTAATAATTTTCATTATCCCGTGGAACTGAAAACTGGAATTCCATTGAATCCTCCAGAATTCAACTGATTTTTCAATAACAAAATACTTAAAAATTCGTGTGAATGAGTGATTATTAAAAATTTCAAGATTTTTTACTTGAAATTTCAGGAGTAATTTTCTAAGACTGTACTAACTGACAGAGCTTGCGACTGTGACTCTAATATTTTCCTAACATGTCATTGCGTCTGTGTTCCATAAACTTTCAGCGCCCAGACGGCCCAAATTTACGATCATTAAATAATATGTATTGTTGCCCCAATAAAAACAGCCGTCCAAATAAACAAACTTCCCGAAACATTCATCTTGTACAGCTAGTACTCACCATAATGCAATCCTTCATCGATCGGCGTCTGTCTGTTAATCGTTAAAAATTTAATCACGCGTTCGACTTTTGATTGACGTTGACGTTGTAATGTAAACGCGTGTATCTTATTAGTGCGAGAGATGGCAATGGGATGCCGAGTGCGAGGTAGCATCTCCCCTGTGCCTGGTTTTATACTTTCGCAGACGGCCCCTCGAGGATCATCCTCCCGTTCTCCAATATGTAACATCACGAGCAAGGCCGTTGCGCCACCATGATTTCCTTACACAACGGGACCGGACCCCGTCGATCTTTCGGGGATGATTCCCCCCGTTACGCACACCTTCATCAAGCCACTTGCATCGCGCCTCTCGCCGTTTATCTGGTCTCTTCAATTTTTCTTATTTCTCCCCCTCCTCCAACCCCCTTCGCTCCTTGGAAGGTGTTTTTATTTTTACAGCTACCGAAGAGTGTATAATTGAGACACTGGCGATTATATCGATGGCGATGGCGCTGCAACCCTAGGCAAAATCCATCGGAAAGTTTCGTCTCTTCGGTCGATGCATCGAAATCGTATAATAAATTAAAGTGTCGTTGTACAGAGAGTGCCCCGTAATTTTAACCAAGCTGTGCGATTCATTACGTTCATTTTACATTGTGATACGTCTTCTTTTTCACGATTAACCTCTCTGGTGTTACTAATTATCCGCCTTGTGCCCAGCATCCACTAATCGACTTTTTCAACGTTGGTGGGCTCTCGCAGTGGCGATGAAGAAGCCAAAAAAACACGTCTGATCGAAAAAAGGAAGGAGGATATCAGCGAAAAAACCGGGGCATTATGAAGTTGTAAAAGAAAAATGATGACATAAAAAACAATTCAATGCATCACAATTGAGCGGCATCCAATTATCACACAACATGGTATCCCCACTGCTATCTCACTCGCTTCATGATCGTTACTCAGTTGCAATTAATTTATGATTGTATTTATTGCCCCAATTAACTCGGCCAGCAAAGCGCCTGGCAAAGGGGCCTTTATTTTCTGGTCGAGAGCATTTAAATCTTATTGTCCATAAACATAAAAATGAAGATGTCTCTCGCACCGTTGAATCTCAACTCTCCAATCCACGTGAGGGAGAAGGGTAGAGGAGTCGTTGGTGTAACAAGAGTGGAGTATTGCGTCTGCTAGA